AACACATACAGACGCACACACACACTCATTTAGTCTAACACACACACTCACACACACATACATACATACACATACACACACTTATACAAAATCGCACACCCATTTTCTCTCTCTCTCTCTCACACACACACACACATTCTCTTTCTCACACATATACACACGTTCAATCTTGCAGAATAACGAGTCCCGTGACCAGCACACACACACACACACACACACACACACACACACACACACTCTTAAACATACATATTTATTTTCGCACACTTTCTCACACAAATTAACACACACACTCTTGCACACTCGCACTTTGACACATAAACACTTTCTCTTTGTCTTTCACACACACACATAGACATACACACCTATACTAAAACACAAACACACATACTTACATATGCACACACAAATATACTAACACACACACGTGCACACACACACAACCAATTATATAACACACGCACATAACACACACATACACACACACACACACACACACACACACACATAAAGACAACCAAACATATAACACACACACACACACTGATACATACACACTTTCTCTGTCTTTCACACACATGCACACACACGCACACACACTCTTTCTCTCTCTCTTTCTCTCACTCTCTCCCTTAAACACACACTCTCTCTCTCACACACACACAGCGACTTTTTCTCACACTCTCTCTCTCACACACACACACACACACACACACATATTCTCTCTGTCTTTCTCCCACACACACACCCTCTCTCTCTCAGTAAGCCGCGGCGGTGTGTGTGTGTGTGTGTGTTCTCCGTCATCTGTGTTCTGCTGAATGATGAGGACAGACGTGTTTCTCCAGCGGAGGAAGCGTAGAGATGTTCTGCTCTCCATCATCGCTCTTCTTCTGCTCATCTTCGCCATCGTTCATCTCGTCTTCTGCGCTGGACTGAGTTTCCAGGGTTCGAGTTCTGCTCGCGTCCGCCGAGACCTCGGTAAGAAAGTCATTCAGTTTGATTCATTTCGAGATTTGTTCGTAAAGAGTCGATCCACTCAAATTGATTCAAAGTCAAAAAACCAGAAAACAGGAGAGGAGAAGATTTCAGCACATGTGATTAAGCAGTATAAGGGTTTAGAACACACACAGTACAGTGGCTCAGTGGTTAGCTCTGCAGCCTCATAGCAGAAGGTCGCTGATTTGAGTCTCGGCTGGGTCAGTTGGTGTTTCTGTGTGGAGTTTGCATGTTCTCCCTGTGTTGGTGTGGGTTTCCTCCGGGTGCCCCAGTTTCTCCCACAGTCCAAACACATGCGCTATAGGGAAACTGATCAACTACACTGGCCATAATGTATGAGTGTGTGTGTATGGGCGATTCCCAGTACTGGGTTGCAGCTGGAAGGGCATCCACAGTGTAAAACATACGCTGGAATAGTTGAAGATATTGAGGTATAAAATGTTCATTACCATTTTCTGTTAACGTGCTTGTTAAAATATATTAAATGTGAACAGACTGAATGGGATTCTGTTTGACTTTATGAAAAAATGTGGGATTATATAGCATCTTCTAGATTTTTGTCAACTCTGTTACTGTCTACTCAAACTATTGTCAACTCTTATCATCAATTCGTATCGTCAGCTCTGTTATCAACTTTGTTACCGTCAACTCTGTTAACATCATGTCTGATACTTTCAACTCTCTTAATGTCAACTCTGTTACTGTCAACTGTACATCAACTCTGATACTTTCAACTCTGTTATCGTCAACTCGATTATCGTCAACTCAATTATTGACAACTCTGTTACTGTCAACTTTAATATCAATTCTGATCCTGTCAACTCTGTTGTCGTCAACTCTGTTACTGTCAACTTTACATCAACTCTGAAACTTTCAACTTTGTTACGGTCAACTCTGTTGTCGTCAACTCTGTTATCATCAACTTTACCTCAACTCTGATACTTTCAACTCTGTTTTGGTCAACTCTGATACTTTCAACTCTGTTATCGTTAACTTTAACGTCAACTCTGATACTTTCAACTCTGTTACTGTCAACTTTAACATCAACTCTGATACTGTCAACTCTGTTGTCGTCAACTCTGTTACTGTCAACTGTACATCAACTCTGATACTTTCAACTCTGTTATCGTCAACTCAATTATCGTCAACTCAAATATTGTCAACTCTGTTACTGTCAACTTTAATATCAACTCTGATACTGTCAACTCTATTGTCGTCAACTCTGTACTTGTCAACTTTACATGAACTCTGAAACTTTCAACTTTGTTACGGTCAACTCTGTTGTCGTCAACTCTGTTATCATCAACTTTACGTCAACTCTGATACTTTCAACTCTGTTACTGTCAACTTTAACATCAACTCTGATCCTGTCAACTCTGTTGTCGTCAACTTTACGTCAACTCTGATACTTTCAACTCTGATACTTTCAACTCTGTTACGGTCAACTCTGTTACTGTCAACTCTGTTATCGGCACCCTTACGTCAACTCTGATACTTTCAACTCTGTTACTGTCAACTGTAACATCAAACCTGATACTGTCAACTCTGTTATCGTCAACTCGATTATCGTCAACTAAATTATTGTCAACTCTGTTACTGTCAACTTTAACATCAACTCTGATACTGTCAACTCTGTTGCCGTCAACTTTATGTAAACTCTGATACTTTCAACTCTGTTGTCGTCAACTCTGTTACCGTCAACTTTACGTCAACTCTGATACTTTTAACTCTGTTATCGTCAGCTCAATTATCGTCAACTCAATTATTGTCAACTCTGTTACTGTCAACTTTAACATCAACTCTGATACTGTCAACTCTGTTGCCGTCAACTTTATGTAAACTCTGATACTTTCAACTCTGTTGTCGTCAACTCTGTTACCGTCAACTTTACGTCAACTCTGATACTTTTAACTCTGTTATCGTCAGCTCAATTATCGTCAACTCAATTATTGTCAACTCTGTTACTGTCAAATTTAACATCAACTCTGATACTTTCAACTCTGTTATCGTCAACTTTGTTACCATCAACTTTAACGTCAACTCTGATACTTTTTTTTTACTGTTCTCGTCAACTCAATTATCGTCAACTCAATTATTGTCAACTCTGTTACTGTCAACTTTAACATCAACTCTGATACTTTTTTTTACTGTTATTGTCAGCTCTGTTATCGTCAACTCTCGTCATCAACTCTGATACTTTTAAGTCTGCTATAGTCAACTCTATTACTGTCAACTTTATAATCGTTACTTTTAACTCTGTTACTGTCAACTCATTGTGTATTATACAATATACCTGCAGTTCTGAAATGATTTGTGTGTGTGTGTGTGTGTGTGTGTGTGTGTGTGTGTGTGTGTGTGTGTGTGTGTGTGTGTGTGTGTGTGTGTGTGTGTGTGTGTGTGTGTGTGTGTGTGTGTGTGTGTGTGTGTGTGTGTGTGTGTGTAGAGAATGCGAGTGAGTGTGTGCAGCCACAGTCGTCTGAGTTTCCTGAAGGATTCTTCACGGTGCAGGAGAGGAAAGATGGAGGAATCCTGATTTACTTCATGATCATCTTCTACATGCTGCTGTCCGTCTCCATCGTGTGTGATGAATATTTTCTGCCATCTCTGGAGGTCATCAGCGAGCGTAAGCAGGTTTAGTCTGTTTGTGCAGTTTTTCTTGGTGTTCTTTGACTAATATGACATGGTGAAACCTGCAGAAACTCTTTATGAGGACATGCTGGATGCCCTTGTCAATTAAAACTATTTAATGGGTATTTGTCACACTGAACGTTGACCACAGGTTTTCTGTGAGGGACGAGTTAAGCGAAGCGCCATATAATGCATGTTTTTATGGTATTAAGTACATTATGCTTATGGAGAGTCCTCATAAATTACTAAAACCAACATGTTTGTGTGTGCGTGTGGGTTTCAGGTCTTGGTCTCTCGCAGGATGTTGCTGGAGCCACGTTTATGGCTGCGGGGAGTTCGGCTCCAGAGCTCGTCACTGCATTTCTGGGTAAACAATTACATTTAACACTGATCTTGCTTATATGTTGAGGACTACAGAACTATCGGGTAGATATATGAGAGAAAATATTTAACATCTCAGTGCAGAGATCCGTCAGTGTCGCCTACTTTTACTGCAGCACTGGTTACATATTTAAAGGTGCAGTATGCAGGACTGAACTAGTGGACAAACTAAGTATTGCAGTCCCAATTCAAAATATAGGAGGGTTTTTTTTTTCACAGGCCACGCACACACAGGTTGCCAGATTAACAACACAAAGTGTGCCTGATCAAGCCTTACACTGTAAACAGCATTTTTAATATCCGTATTACTATTATTTGCTAATGAAAAAGCCCCTCATGTGTATTCTGAGGCTGCTGCTGTCTTCCAGAGTTCACAATCATGCACTGAGAGCCTTCATGACTGAAATTAAATGTGCTGTTTGTCACCAAGGCATACAGGGATGCTGAAATATAATGGGTTACACTGGCAGTGGGCGGAGTTACAGATCAAAGCAAAGACAGACATTCTGACACAGACGGCGCATTCTCAAAGCAGAGGAACTGACCTCAGCACTGTGTCTCAGATAAACATGCGCTCATTTAGCGTGATTCTGAAATATCTGCAGACGTATGATGGTGTTTCACGCTTTAGAACATCCATCACAGCACCATTAAAAGATCTAAAAACTGAATGTAAAAATAATTCATTAAATCTCTAATGTGTTTGTGTCGTCTGTTCATTTATTATGGAGGAAAGCTGGAGCTGCAGCGGTGTCCCTGCTTCAGAAACACCTGCACTGTTACTGTTGATCATTTGTTTCAGACTGAGGATTTTGAGCATGTGTGTGTGTTGTTCTTGCTCAGGTGTGTTTGTGACGAAGGGCGACATCGGCGTCAGCACCATCATGGGTTCTGCTGTCTATAACCTGCTGTGCATCTGTGCAGCGTGCGGCCTGCTGTCCTCTGCAGTGCGTGACTACACACACACACACACACATGTTTGTTTATGCTGATCTGACATGATGTTTATGCTGATCTGTGTGTGTGTGTGTGTTAGGTTGGTCGTCTGAGCTGCTGGCCGTTGTTCAGAGATTGTGTTGCGTACTCCATCAGTGTCGCCGCCGTCATCGCCATCATCTCAGATAACAGAGTTTACTGGTGAGCCTCCCATCACTCCTCACTTTATTCTCTGAATACTTTGTATCTCACAGTAATGACTGTCAACATTTCTGATTTACTTTTCACTATTTAGACCTTTCATTTTTGGATTTCAAATTAGTTTTTCAGTTCTGACATTGTTTTTTATTTTTACAATTTTTGAAATTTTTATTTACTTTTCACAGTTTTGACGTTTTTTTTCCCACAAAATTTACGTTTTTTTATTTCTAAATTCTGCCGTTTTTAAAACATTTTATTTACTTTTTACAAAATTTACGTTTTTTCGACGTTTTTTTTTTTTTTTTATTCACTTTTCACAAAATTCATGTTTTTTAAAAAAATTCTACATTTTGACGTTTTTGAATTTTTTTCATTTACTTTTTTTTTCAATTTACATTTTTAAGAATTTTCACAATTTTTGTTTTTTTATTGTTTTATATATTTTTTACAAAATGTATGTTTTTTTTCAATTATCTAAATTTTTTACTTATTTAATTTACTTTTTACAAAATTTAAATTTTTACAAATGTTCACAATTTTGACATTTTTTACATTCTTTAATTTACTTTTCACAAAATTAAAGTTTGAAGAATTTTTACAATTTTGACGTTTTATATTTTAATTTTGAATTTTCATAATTACAATTTTTACATTTTTTTTATTTTTAATTTTCAAAGTTTTTACTTTTTTTGGAATTTCTGAGTTGCTTTTCATAATTTCTTGTTTTTTGGAATTTAGAATTTACGTAATTTTGACATTTTTTTTATTATTCGCTTTTCACAGTTGTGATGTTTTCTGGAACTATTGAATCTTCACAATCTTTTGATGTTTTTTGAATTTCATTATTTAATTTTCACAAAATGTACGTTTTTATGAATGTAACAATTTTTATGTTTTTTGAAATTTGTAATTTTCACAATTTTGACGGTTTTTTATTATTTAAATGTTTTTTTATTTTTAAATATGTTCGTTTTTTCTTAGATCAGTTTTATGAGTTTGTAGACATTCTAATAAGCTGAACACTTAAAAAACGTGAATAATTGTACTTTTTAATAGTTCGAATAGTTTATCATCTCTGAAAAGTGTAATCTCTCCATGTGTGTGTGCAGGTATGATGGCGCGTGTCTCCTGCTGGTGTACGGTGTGTATGTAGCTGTACTGTGTTTCGATCTGAAGATCAGCGAGTACGTGATGCAGCGCTTCAGTCCATGCTGCTGGTGTCTGAAACCTCGCGATCGTGACTCAGGCGAGCAGCAGCCTCTAGTGGGCTGGAGTGACGACAGCAGCCTGCGGGTCCAGCGCCGTTCCAGAAATGACAGCGGAATATTCCAGGATGATTCTGGATATTCACATCTATCGCTCAGCCTGCACGGACTCAACGAAATCAGCGACGGTATGTACAATAACTATTCTTAAAAACACTTTGAGAAGCAAAATTTCTCCTGCATATAACAATAAATACTGTAAATGCATTAATTAATGCAAATAGTTATAATACAATTTAAAACTTTTTGCGTCTCACGATTTCAACTTTTTTTGTATTTTAACTTTTACGTGTCGCGATTTTGCCTTTTCTTGTATTTACATTTTTACGTCTCACTACTTTGACTTTTTTTTCTTGTATTTTGACTTTTATCTCTCGCAATTTTGACTTTTCTAGTATTTAGATTTTTATGTCTCACGATTTAGATTTTTCTAGTACTTAGTCTTTATGTTTTGCAATTTTGACTTATAGTTTGAGTTTTACATCTTTACTATTTTCTTGTATTTTACGTCTTGCAATGTTGTCTATTTTCTAGAATTTAGACTTTTACGTCTCTCAATTTGGACTTTTTTAGTATTTAAATTTTTACATCTCACAATTTTGACTTTTCTTGTATTTTGACTTTAATGTCTCGATATTTTGACTTTTGTTTTATTTTGACTTTCACAGCTCACGATTTTGAATTCTTGTATTTAGATTTATACGTCTCGTGATTTTGACTTTTCTAATATTTAGATTTTTGCAGCTCGCAATTTTGACTTTTGTAGTATTTAGATTTTTATGTCTTACGATTTTGATTTTTCTTGTATTTTGACTTTTATGTCTCGCTATTTTGACTTTTTTAGTATTTAATTTTTACATCTCACGATTTTGACTTTTCTTGTACTTAGATTTTTTTGTCTCACTTTTTTGACTTTGCTTGTATTTAGATTTTTGTGTTTTGCAATTTTGACTTTGTCTAGTATTTAGATTTTCATGTCTCACGATTTAGATTTTTCTAGAATTTAGTCCTTACGGTTTGCATTTTTGACTTTTCTTATAGTTTCAGTTTTACGTCTTATAATTTTGACTATTTTTTTGTATTTTACGTCTTACGATTTGTACGTCTTGCGATTTTAACTATTCTTGTATTTTGAATTTTACCTCTCGCGAATTTGACTTCTAGTATTTAGATTTTTATGTCTCGCGATTTTGGCTTTTCTTGTATTTTGACTTTTATGTCTTGCGATTTTGACTTTTTTATTATTAAAATTTTTACATCTCACGATTTATATTTTTTTGTATTTTGACTTTTACGTCCCGCAATTTTTACTTTTCTAGTATTTCTTTGATTTGAAAAGACCCTAGATTTTTTATTATTTAGACTTTATATGTTGTAATTTTGACTTTTCCTATGGTTCGAGTTTACGTCTTACAATTTTGGCTATCTTCTTGTATTTTAGTTCATGCCTTGCAAATGTTTTATTTATTTACTGTTTTACTTTTTTTCTTGTAATTTGAGTGTGAGTGTGTGTGTGTGTGTTTTTCAGAGCACAAGAGTGTGTTCTCCATGCCGGATCACGATCTGAAGCGAATCCTGTGGGTTTTGTCTCTTCCGGTCAGCACTCTGCTGTTTGTGAGCGTTCCCGACTGCAGGAGACCCTTCTGGAAGAACTTCTACATGCTGACCTTCCTGATGTCCGCCGTCTGGATTTCTGCATTCACTTATGTGCTGGTCTGGATGGTCACAATCGTGGGTAAGTCTGATAATTACCACAGTAAACACTCCCACAGAGCATAATCATACTCACAGACTGAGGTGGCAAACAGCCGAGTAATCAGACACATCTGCTCTCGGTTTGACATTTTTCATTAGCAGTCAGCATTTCATTAATTACTGCAACAAGAGACTTTCACTTTGGTAGAAAATTACTCATGTTTTACTTTTTTCTTTTGGTTGATGTCTTAGTAATGACTTTTGTTGAACATTACAAGTTGTTTGAGTATTTAGTTGAAAATTAACCTTGCTTAAAGATTTTAGTTGAAAATTATTGACATCTATTAATGATTTCTGTAAAAAAAAAAAAAATCTTTGTAGTTTCTGGTTCAAAAATTTCGTTTTTGTTGAAAATTAGTTCAAGAAATAATTATTATATTATAATTAATTATACTAGTAATGATTTTTATTAAAAACTAATCTTATCTTAGTAATATGATGTTGAATAATATTTTAAAGATTTTTTTAATTTTAAAGACGTAAAAATCTAAATACAAGAAAAGTCAAATTTGTGAGACGTAAAAGTAAAATACAAGAATAGTTAAAATCGCAAGATGTACAAATCTAAATACAAGAAAATGGACATTGCAAGAAGCAAAATACAGGAAAATAGTCAAAGAGATATAAGATGCAAAACTCAAACTATAAGAAAAGTAAAAATTGCAAAACGTAAAGTATAAATACTAGAAAAATCTAAATCATGAGACAAAAATCTAAATACTAAAGCAGTCAAAATTATTCAAGCAAAAAATAATGAAATAATAACTAATATATAATTCATTTACAACTAAATTCTTTAAATCTTTGAATAATGTATCATCTTAGTAAAGATTTCCATTGAAAATATATATTCATATAATTTTGTAGTTTTTGTTTGACAATTAATCCTGTCTTACTAATGATTTTGTTGAAAATTAGTACATTTGGAGTAGTTCTTGGTTGAAAATAATTAATATCTTAGTAACAATTTTTGTTGAAAATTAATGATTATTTAGTAACACTATTTGTTGGAAAAATAAATGTATTTTTCTTAGTTCTTTTATATCTTATATCTCAGTTTTCAGTCATGTCTTGATTTTCATTGAGAATTAATTTTGTTAAAATATAATTGATTTGATAATTTTCAGTTTTAACAATTTTAGTCAAATTTATGAAAATAATTATCAGTAATTAGTAAAAATGTATTATTTCTAAGAAAAACATTTTTGTTAAAAAAAAAGTCAAATCTTTAGTTAAAAAAATGAATCTTTTTTTTGTTGAAAAGTGTTTCCTGGTAAAGATTTTCATTCATATATTATCAGTATTTTTTATTTGAAGTTGAAAATTAATAATCTTGGTGAGGTTTTCATTGAGAATTATGTTTTTCGGGGTGGTTTTTAGTTGAACATTAATCATCTTAAAGATTATAATTGATAATGAATCATATCTTAATAAATATTTTCATCGAATATGACTTTTTGTAAAATTTGTTGATGAAAATACATCAGTGATGATTTTTGTTGAATAAAATTTGTCTGTTTTGAGTTGAATATTTATCATGTTAGTATTGATTTTATTGAAATAAATTCTGTAGTTTTTGGTTTAAAGATGAATCATATCTTGAGATTTGATGTTGTTGTTTGACCCATTCTGTGGTGAAGATTTAAGCTCTTACCTTGATAATACCCTAAGTTTGAGAGTGAACCACTGTCAGTACACACTCATCAACCCAAGAGCACACACAGATCAGAACTTTATTAATGAAGCCGCCATTTCTCTTCATGCATCTTTCACTCTCCACAGAATCTGCTGCTGCTTTTCCTCCGTGTGTGTCATGTTTCCGTTCAGCGGTGTGTTTTGCGTGCGTATAGTGGTGATTATAGTGTGTGTGTAGTCGTCATGTCGGATCGGTCACATGCTGTGTGTTCATTCCTCAAATACCAGCTGAGGATTATGATGCGCCGCAGGAACATGTGATGCAGCACTGAATAAGAGGATTATTATCCTGCACAGACTCACATGAGCACCGGCGGAGCTTTAGAGCCCGCTGGAATGAGCAGGTACCGCTGGAGATACTGAGAAACACACACACAGAGGAACACAGCCTCAGGACAACATGCGCGCGCGCGCGCACACACACACACACACACACACTCATTCATTCATTCACATGGAGAGTTTGAACCTTCTGCCCCGATGAGTAAAACTCAAGAGTCCCGTGAACGCTTCATCTCAGTCTGACACAGTTTTACAATAAATAAAGGTTTTAGGAACTTTTTTTATAGAAAAGAGGGAAACAAAACTTTCAAACCTGAGTATTTAATGATGCAACTGGCCTAAACAGGAGTCATTTTAACCAAAAACCGTGAAAAAAACAAAACTTTTAGCAAAAAACTTCAACCAAAAACAAATCTAATAACATAAAGAGAAAATCTCTGCTAAGATCAGTGTTTTATACAAACAGAACAGAAAAGTGAAGCTTTCAATAAAAAAACTGATTATAGATTTGAGTAAAAAAGTCATTTTCAGCCAAAACCGACAACTAAACTAATAACTTTCAGTGAAAAATCTTTACTGAGAGTAATTTTAACCAAAAAAACTGCAAAAATTAATTAAATTAAATATTCTGTGAAAACCTTTGTTAAAATAAAAGTACTTTTTAATCAAAAATATAAAAAATGTGTAACATTCAACACATTTATTTTATTAATATACAAGTAATCTTCAAGCAAAAACAGCAAAAAGAGGTCTAATAACTTTCAGTAAAATCTTTACTACAATAATACCTTTTATCCAAACATGACTCAATACACTCACCGGCCACTTTATTAGGTACACCTGTCCAACTGCTTGTTAAGGCAAATGTCTAATCAGCCAATCACATGGCAGCAGCTCAATGCATGCAGACATGGTCAAGAGGATCTGCTGCAGGTCAAACTGAGCATCAGAATGGGGAAGAAAGGGGATTTAAGAGACTTTGATCGTGGCATGGTTGTTGCTGCCAGACGGGCTGCTCTGAGTATTTCAGAAACTGCTGATCTACTGGGATTTTCACGCACAACCATCTCTAGGGTTTACAGAGAATGCTCCGACAAAGAGGAAATATCCAGTGAGCGGCAGTTCTGTGGACGCAAATGCCTTGTTGATGAGGCCAGAGGTCAGAGGAGAATGGCCAGACTGGTTCCAGCTGATAGAAAGGCAACAGTAACTCAAATAAGCACTCGTTACAACCGAGCTCTGCAGAAGAGCATCTCTGAACACACAACACGTCCAACCTTGAGGCGGATGGGCTACAGCAGCAGAAGAGCACACCGGGTGCCGCTCCTGTCAGCTAAGAACAGGAAACTGAGGCTACAATTCACACAGACTCACCAAAACTGGACAATAGAAGATTGGAGAAACGTTGCTGCTCTGATGAGTCTCCATTTCTGCTGACACATTCAGATGCTCGGCTCACAATTTGGCCTCAACAACATGAAAGCATGGATCATCCTGCCTTGTATCAGCGGTTCAGGCTGGTGGTGGTGGTGTAATGGTGTGGGGGAGATTTTCTTTGGGTCCATTAGTACCAATTGAGCATCAACGCCACAGCCTACCTGAGTATTGCTGCTGACCATGTCCATCCCTTTATGAGCACAGTGTCTCCATCTTCTGATGGCTACTTCCAGCAGGATAACGCAGCATGTCATAAAGCTCAATCATCTCAGACTGCTTTCTTGAACATGACGATGAGTTCACTGTACTCAAATGGCCTCCACAGTCACCAGAGCTCAATCCAATAGAGCAGCTTTGGGATGTGGTGGAACGGGAGATTGGCATCATGGATGTGCAGCCGACAAATCTGCAGCAACTGTGTGATGCTATCATGTCAATATGGAGGAAAATCTCTGAGTATTAAGGCAGTTCTGAAGGCAAAAGGAGGTTTGACCCACTACTACTAAGGTGTACCTAATAAAGTGGCCGGTTATATATGTATAAACTTTCAGGAAAATAAATAAAGTTTAACCGAAAATGACTACATAATTGTGTAACTTTCAGTAAAAATCTTTAATAATATAAAAGTAATTTTACTACAAAAAAATTTACCTTCAATGAAAATCTTTACAAGTAATTTTCATTCAAAAATGACAAAAGATTTCAATAAAAAAAATTAAGTAAAAAAAAACTACTGGAGAAAGACTGAGCTCTGTGTGTAAAGCTGGAACTGGTGTGTGATGATCAGCAACGTGAGCTTCATTCATCACACACACAGTGATTTAGTGCAGGATAATGAACCCTGAACACAGATAAATGGCTAAACACACTGAAATAATGAAATGATCCGCCCAGAGTCCTGACCTAAACATGATGGTCAACAAGAATTTTCTGTATTTTTTTTCAAGAGAGATCTGACACAGGCCAGACAAAGAGCGTCTTCTGGTTAATTAACGCCTCACAGTTGAAGAGTAAAGTATTTGCAATCCTGTGAAATTCATTACATTAGGCAAGTCGCCGGGCAACAGTGGTTTAATCTGTAGCTAATCAAATATATATATATATTATGTTGTAAGTTCTAATAATATTAAAATCTTATTACCTTAGCAGTTTTTACATTTTTATTTATTCCACACAACCTAAAAGAAATCAGACTTTCTCCAGAAAACAAAACTAATAATGTGGAAAATGTCCTTATTTAACAGCACTTATAAATATTTGAAAAATAATTCATATTTACAGGAGGCCGAATAATGTTGCGCTCACACATTTTAGAGAAATTATCTGAGAACAAACAGCTGATGGTTTATACGTAATTGCTGATAAATGAGAGTTTCGTGTTTGTGTCCAGGGGAGACTCTGGGAATCCCGGACACAGTGATGGGAATGACTCTTCTGGCTGCAGGAACCAGTATCCCCGACACCGTGGCCAGTGTGATGGTGGCACGAGAAGGTAAACACAACTGAACAAACATGATTACACCACTCTCTGGAGTACTCCATTCTCATTGATCAATTATCACACTCTATGTAAACATATCCAGGAAGTTATCTCAGAATAAACCCTGACAGCTCTATCAGTACCAAATCATTTCAGTATTCAGACACTAGATGGAGACAAACAGTCAAAAACACAAAGCTGACAGAAACAGCTGATGGAGTATACACTAACCTGAACATTACTCAGACACTAGATGGAGACAAACAGTCAAAAACACAACAGAAACTAAACAGCTGATGGAGTATTCACTAACCTGAACATTACTCAGACACTAGATGGAGACAAACAGTCAAAAACACAACAGAAACTAAACAGCTGATGGAGTATACACTAACCTGTGCTTTATTCAGACACTAGATGGCGCCAAACAGTCAAAAACACAACAGACACTAAAACAGCTGATGGAGTATACACTAACCTGCACATTATTCAGACACTAGATGGCGCCAAACAGTCAAAAACACAACAGAAACTAAACAGCTGATGGAGTATACACTAACCTGCGCATTATTCAGACACTAGATGGCGCCAAACAGTCAAAAACACAAAGCTGACAGAAACAGCTGATGGAGTATACACTAACCTGCACATTATTCAGACACTAGATGGAGACAAACAGTCAAAAACACAACAGACACTAAAACAGCTGATGGAGTATACACTAACCTGCACATTATTCAGACACTAGATGGCGCCAAACAGTTAAAAACACAACAGACACTAAAACAGCTGCTGGAGTATACACTAACCTGCGCATTATTCAGACACTAGATGGCGCCAAACAGTTAAAAACACAACAGACACTAAAACAGCTGCTGGAGTATACACTAACCTGCGCATTATTCAGACACTAGATGGCGCCAAACAGTCAAAAACAAAGCTGACAGAATAAAAACAGCTGATGGAGTATACACTAACCTGCGCACTCCAGACCGCCGTGTAATAATCTGCAATCATCATCTGTACTTTAAGCACACTCAGTTGTGTTCCTCCGTGTGTCTCAGGTAAATCTGATATGGCCATGTCCAACATCGTGGGCTCTAACGTGTTCGATATGCTGTGTCTGGGCCTGCCGTGGTTCATCCAGACGGTGTTTGTTGACGTGGGCTCCCCGGTGGATGTCAACAGCTCGGGGCTGGTCTTCATGTCCTGCACGCTGCTGCTCTCCATCATCTTCCTCTTCCTCGCCGTGCACATCAACGGCTGGAAGCTGGACTGGAAGCTGGGTCTGGTGTGTTTGGCGTGTTACATTCTGTTCGCAACACTCTCCATCCTGTACGAGCTCGGCATCATCGGGAACAATCCCATACGCTCCTGCAGCGACTGAACACTGCTCTACAGCGCCCCCTTATGGACAACACAAGGACGTGACTCTTTATAACCCTCTAAAGTGCACAGGTTCATTACTGAATACAAGAAAATAGAACTGCGAGACGTCAACTCAAAATACAAGAGAAGTCAAAGTGCGAGATGTAAAAAATATATGCACATAAATGAGGATAAACTTTTTATTTAATAAGACAAAACTGCATAAAGTCTGATGTGAACACTGCTCAACAGCGCCCTCTCATGGACAACACATGGATCTGACTCTTATTAACCCTCCAGAGTGCAAATACACTAACACAACGTAATATAACCAAGTTAAAATGGCAAGATGTGAACTCAAAATACAAGAAAGCAGTCAAGATGCCCGACATAACAAATGTGCATTAAAATGTAAGCCCTTAAATGATGAGGAAAACCTTCTTATTCAATAGAAAATGCTCTGATGTGAAGAGATTTAGTAAATAACATCCAGCATCCGCTTCACCCGTAGAGTGAACACGCTCGACAGCGCCCTCTCATGGACAACACAAGGATAGGACCTTTTTAACCCTCTAAAGTGCACAAGTTTTACAGTTCTACACATCTTATTAGCTTTGTGTCATCTACTTTATGTGCATTTTGGATAAGGAGATGGATGTGCATCTATTTTTGAAGAAGATGTAAGCACATAAACAATAAGGATAAAGTTTTATTCAATAAGAAAAATGCTGGGATGTGAAGAGAGTTAAGGCCCGTGCACACCGAGACGTTTTTTGCTCGCGTTTTCCATCAACGTTTAACTCCTCGTAACTAAATAAAGGGCGTCAATGTGATCGTGCACACCAATGCGCAAAACACCCGGCGCAAAATCGTCATTTTTTAAAAAACGTCTCATGCTTGTTTTTTTGTCCACCAATCAGATCGGCACCTTTGTGAACGTGCACGGAGCTGCTGAAGTTACCATAAACAGCAATTGGAGGCGCTCAAGCGCAAAACTGTCAATGCAAGCACACACTGAAGAAGATGCCCAGAGGTGATATGAACGTGGAGCTGCTTACTGCACTGCTGAACAATAATCATTTCTTCATCGCTAGAGCTGGAGCTGCTGCTTGAACCATCCATGCATGTTCGAGTCTCCAGTAAATTTAACAACAAGCATGTGACTGTGAACTTCCGCTGCTCTACTTCTTCTGTGTTATAACCGGGTGTCAGAAGCTTAGAGTTGTGCAGCGCCATCTAACGTCAAGTTACATTTAGCATACTCTTCTGCTTGACGCCAGTGAAAAGCGCTTGGGTTTGAACACTGAAAAACGTCTCGTAAAACGCTGACGATAAACGCAAACAAAAAACGTCCCGGTGTGTAGGAGCCTTTAGGGCGTACTCACACTATGCTATCCAAACCGTGCTCAGGCCTGTTTCCCGGATGGTTTGAGAAGTGTGAGTGCGCTGAATCAGGCTCATGCTGAGCGCGGTTCACTTGGGCTTTGGAAAAACTGAAAGCAAGACGTGACTTTTAAGGGACTGTTCCATATGGATTTATTAATCATTCTTACAGTTCAGTGAACGCAAACTGCCGTAGATTATTAAAAACGCAAACCCCTCACTGCACGACAGCTGCAGCTTCAGCAGACCTCCTCATTCCTGCAGCGCGAGGGCTTTATGATTGTTTGTCAAAAGTGGCGGATCTGTTCGTGAAATATCTGACTGCGTGTCCCCGCATCCCTAAAGACTAAAGCGATATAACTAGAGAAACGCCCACTGTGCCCAGGCCCGATTCAAGGCAACTGTACAGTGTGAGTATCCGCTTGTTAAGTGATGACGTGTTTGTGACGTATGTATACTGTTTCCGGGTCCAAGCCGCCATTCATTTGAGTGGAGAAATCATTCGTTTATGATCACGTTTTATTCCTATCACACATTAAAGTTAATTTTATATATAGTCATAGTGTACACAACAATCTCTGAGCTTGCTGCATCACAAATACCAAAATATTTACAATTTATAAAAAATTAATCACTTTCTGGCCATCGGATATAAGGCATGGACATATGCCATCGTGATTTTCAAAAGCCTTAAATCGCTTTGTAAACGTTTATTATTACCATTTTATGAGTCTCCCCATTCAGTTGAATAGAGCGCTTGGAGCCGGAAGCCGCTTCGCGTGACGTCACACTTAACAAGCGGATAGCTTTGGTGTTAAAGTCCAGCATGTGCATCAGTAGAGTGAACACTCCTCAACAGCGCCCCCTCGTGGACAACACAAGCACATGGCCTTCTCTTCAAAGTGCAGCAGTTGATGTTTCCATTCACCTATTTTAATGTGCATTTTGGATACGCACACTGGAAATAAAACAGGCAAGATGTGCATAAATTGTGTCTCTGTCACAAAAACTGCTCCTATTTTTATTTGCATTTTATATTATCGCATAAAAAAATGTGTAGTGAAAATGCACATGCATAAACATATGCACACAATTAGGATAAACTTTTTATTGGCCAAGAAAAAAAAGTGCATAAACTCTGGCGTGAACTCAGCATGGACATGACTCTTGTTAACCCTCTACAGTGCAGCATCTCATTAGCGGCTTCATCCATCTATTTTATGTGCATTTTCGATACACACATTGGAAATGGAAAATGCCAAGATGTGCATACATTTTTGATAAAAAAAAACATTGTATGCACATAAACGATAAGGATAAATTCAATAAGAATGCTGGGATGTAAAGAGTTAGTGAATAAAGTCCAGCATGTGCATCAGTAGAGTGAACACTGCTCAACAGCGCCTCCTCATGGACAACACAAGCACATGAGCCTCTCTTTTTAACCCTCTAAAGTAGTTCTACAGTTCTCATTAGCTGGTTACATCCACCTATTTCTGTGCATTTTGAAATATCGCATTTTTAAAAAATGGAAATGCCAAGATGTGCATAGACTTTGATAAAGCACATGCATAAACACATGCACACAACTAAAATAAACTTCATTTGATAAGAAAAAAAGTGCATCAACACTGACCTGATCACTGCTCGACAGCGGCCCTCATTACCAACACATGGACGTGACTTTTTTAAAGCCTCTAAAATGCAGCAGCTATAGCCATCTGTTTTTCTGCATTTTGGACACACATAAAAATGGAAAATGCAAAGATGTTTATGATTTTTTGTAAATGTGCATAAAAATGTTTACACATGAATGAGGACGGTAAACTTTTTATTTGATGAGAAAAATGTGTATAAACACTGATGTAAACTGATTTAGTGAATAAGGTCCAGCATGCACTTCAGATCAAATAACCAGCTCATCAGCAGCCCTGCAGACAACTCAAGCATATAACTTTCCAATTACTTCCAAATCACACCTGCTTAATCTCTAGCAGTCTTGAGCGCTTTGATTAGTTCAGTCTGCTGTGTTTGATCAGGTTTAGAGCAACACTGTGCAGAGCTGTGGCCCTCCAGGAACTGACTTTGAGACCCCTGTTTTAGAGGGTTGAAAGGAAAGTTATACGCTTGTTGTCCATGAGGGGGTGCTGATAAGCCGGTTATTTAATTTACTAGTGAAGTGCATGCTGGACTTCATTCACTAAACCTAAGTACCTGTGTTTTAAAGTGTAGCTTATTACTCTATTTCTCATTCGCTGTCTCCATTCATCTGTTTTATGAGCATTATGAATATGCACATACACATAGGAATAACTCACTTCATAAGACAAATGTGTATTACCGAGGAAGTAAACAGATTTAAAAGAGAAAACTTCTCATTTTTAGTTTTTAAGTGCATTTCAATATATATATATATATATATATATATATATATATATATATATATATATATATATATATATATATCTTTACCATTTCTGCTGTGGTAGTGTTGCACCCAAGTACACCCAAAATATACGTTTTAAAATATTCTCTTGAATTTTCAAGAGCTTTAAAGCAACTTCATGTAAAATAAATAGTAAAGTGTGGCAGCCATGAAATATAATATAGCCACTTTTTGCTATAATGCATCCCATAGAAGGTTCACTGGAGGTCTCCCACCATTTATTTACTGATATAGAGCATAAAACTAAACTAAGGTCCATATAGCAAAGTAATTCAATTCTGATCAGTTTATTCAGGTAATAGTGCTCTGCTCTGACCGGCTTTCTCTTCTGCGGTGTTCTTGCACGACCATCTGATGAAGACCAGATCAAACTCTTCCACTAATCTGCTCAACATGCCAGATGCACATCTCCAGCCTTTCTCCTTTCCCAGAAATGATCTGCTGTTTCTCAGGGATTTGGTCAATGTTGTGATGAAATGAGTTGAGCAGCTTTTTCCTCACAATTGTATTGCATTGAATTAAAAGTGTATTAATCTGTACACCAGACTGTAAATCACAGTACTGCTGATGATTTACTGTAAATGTCGGACTTTCATCATCTACCTCACAACACACACAGAGATTGGAAATCGTCACTGTTATAATAATAAAGATGACACTACTGAGATATACCGTGGTCTTTTTTAAATACACGAACCCTCAACATTGTGAAGTGAAAATAAGGGCAAAGGAGTAAGAGAATGTGGCTGATTTTAGATTCATTTCCACGTGTTTTCAAGCCTAAATAAAATGAAAGCCCGTTTCTCTTGAACAGCTCTTCACATTTAAGAGTAGAGCTGTAATCAGGCTGTAAAAGTTAGGCCCGATAGACAGAATCCAGCCCGAGCCCCACCAGAACATTTTGACTTTGTTTCTCCACTTCACAACCCAGCAATATCAGCCTGTCTACATAATGCATTCATGATTTCATTAATATTCAGTTATAGTTTGTAAATCCTTTACTCACCCAGATTAGGCTGTGTGTTTGGGGAGGAACATTATTGAATCCTCTGTAGATGGCTTTAGCATGACTGATGGTGTGTCCAGCAGCACCGAACACTTTCACTGCTGCTGGCCGGGATGCACACGGTACTGATCTGGCTAATTTTGCCAGTTTTGGGTAGGATTGTCTGTTCATGGGGAACGCCTCAGAAGAAGGAGTTGAGCCGAAAGGTAAAGCTCTGGATTTACCGGCCAATCTACATTCCTACTCTCACCCATGGGTCATAACTGAAAGCACAAGATCTCGGATGCAAGCGGCTGAAGGGCGCACCCTTATAGATAGGGTGAGGAGCTCTGACACTCGGGAGGAGCTCAGAGTAGAGCCGCTGCTCCTCCACATCCAGAGAAGTCAGCTGAGGTGACTCGGGCATCTGTTTCAGAAGCCTCCTGGACGCCTACATAGGGAGCTGTTCCAGGCATGTCCCACCGGGAGGAGGCCTTGGGGAAGACTCAGGACACGCTGGAGGGACTATGTCTCTCGGCTGGCCTGGGAACGCCTCGGGATCCCCAAAGAGGAGCAGGAGGAAATGTCTGGGGAGAAGGCAGTCTGGGGTTCTCTCCTAAGACTGCTGCCCCCGCGACCCGGCCCTGGATAAGCGGATGAAAATGATGATGACGATGATGTTGGTTCATCTTCCATCAGCCAAGAACATCCATTTGATTTTCCATGACAGCGGCTTCAATATAGCGAGTGACCTCGTCATCCTCCCTGTCAGCTTGCTGTACATTTTCCCACTCCGCAAAATGCTTCTCTTCTGTCCGTCATCATCCGTTTCACTTCTCCAGGGATGAGCTTGATGTTGTAAACCATTTGATTACTTCCATTAATGGAAATGCATCACATGACTTCATTAACAGCACAAGCAGGAGCGTAAACCCAGACCCGGCCCTATCTAAAATGATAGAAATTAGGGTCGAACCTGTCAGGTTCATTCGGGTTTGGGCAAAGATCATCAGCTCTATTTAAGAGCAAAGGGGGCCCTCTGGTGGTACTTATATGAGGAGAATCTGCCGTTTGATCATATTCATTGCCACCCTCTAAAATAAAGGATTAAAAACACAGGAGAAATACAGGAATGTAAACTATATTAGCACTCCAGGCCCCAGTTAACATTTCATCTAGCAATTATAACAGAAGTGACAGTGCAATTCCCGACGGAAGATAACTCCAACCACCAATAACACACACACACACACACACACACACACACACACACACACACACACACACACACACACACACACACACACACACACACACACACACAACAAAAGAGTAATAGACTGACTGGAGGAATGGGCAAATGGAGAAAATACAGCTGCTTGATAGTGAAAATGCTTTTACAAATACAAATGTGTGTATGAATACAAAATATGTCCACAATTATTATTAAACGAGCAACGATTGAGCGACCCAAACAACCCGAATGCGTATCCACAGGAGTTTACCTCAAACCTGCACATAAAAACACACGAGACGAAAGGTACAACAGCCAGATGTTTATTTTTCTTAAAATGTAATCCGAGAGAAACGTCCTACAAATTAAAATGTTTAAAAAAGGAAAGGAAAGTAAAGGTCGTCTAACTGGTGGAGTAAAGCGGCTGTGAGTGTGGAGGTGTGAGAATCCTGCTGTTTTTAAAACAAAACAAACGGCGGCTCTGCAGACGCTGGACAATGTGTGTGTGTGTGTGTGTGTGTGTGTTTACGCGTTGCGATCGAGGCGTACGTCCACCTCTCGGCCGTTGATCTTGGTGCCGTTCATCAGCCTGCAGGCCTTCTCTGCGCTCTCCGGAGAGTCGAAGCGCACCGTCCCGCAGCCTTTAGACTTGCCGTTCTCCATCTTGATTTCAGCGTACATCACCTGACCTGCAGGACATACACACATCTGCTTCATCACGCTGTCCAGAAGGCGTCTGGTGCATGGGGAGAGGAGGAAACAAAACACTCTTTTCCTCTCCATATGCACTTAACACCATCTTATAAACAACTTACTTTAAAATCAATTACTGATTACTGATATATCGTAGAGCACACGGTTTAATAAACAATTTACATTATGTAATAAATAAATAAATAAATAAATAAAGCGTCATTAATTCCTGCCCTCTTATGGTAGGTACGCAGAATGCATACAGCTGTACGGCTGCAGGCGCCACTGATTCTGGAGCTCATTAACAATAATAACACTGATCCTGAAGCAGTTCAGGCGTTTTAGAATGATTAAATCAACATGTCAGATGTTCTGCGGTGTGCTCAGCCTGCTGGTTTGTTAATTCACACACATTTTCATCATCACATCATCTCTCATAACAAAATCACATGACCTTTTTTAATGCACACACTGGAATTTGTTTGGTAGAAGTGTTTCCATCGCAGTTTATGCACATCTTATTGAATAAAAAGCGTTCCTACTCAGTTATGCGCATATGATTTACATGCATTTTCAAAATGTATGCTTATCTTGGCGTTTCCATTAACCAGTTTTTATTTGCACATCATACTGTCAACATACAATCTACACCCTCACTAATTACTAAATACTTTACACCTCTTTCAGACGGCTTTTTCCAGAGTAATTAGCAATGTTATTTAATTATACAGAAAGGAATTGAACACAAGGAACATAACCTTTAGATGGGGATTTAACTATTCACTCATGATTAATTACAACACATGATGCTGATCTCACAATACAATTGAAAAAACAAGTGCTCATAAATTTATCAAATCAAATTTATAAATGTATAGACAACATGTAAGGGAAGTACATTATAGGTAACTAAATAACTAAGTAACTTGGCTTTATTCAGTGAGGAAGTCATTTGATTACAGCAATATACACACTTACCGCAGTGACTGAACTTCTCCTTCAGCTTTTGCCAGCTCAGATCATAGGAGAGCTGCGGACACAAACACACATTAATCAAACACACACACACACACACACACACACACACACACACACACACACACACACACAACCCTTTACTGATCGACATACGTACATTTCTGACGAAGATCTGGCATCCACCTTTAGACCGGTCACTCATTCCCCCCATGTAACCCGAGCCTCCAAACTGACCGAAGCCGCGGCTCATGTCCATGCTTGAAGACATCCTGTCAAAACCCGAGTTCATGCGATCCATTCCCATGTTCCCCATCCCTGAAACACACACACACACACACACACACACACAATTGAAAACACTCATTACAACACAGTCATTGCAAAGTTTAACCTAAACCGAGTGAACCATTATTATGTGCATGTGTCTTTAAGACATTGCAAAAGAGTTTAAAGTATTAGCTGTACATTTCACTTAATGCAATCTCACTGAAGCAGAAACACTTTTACAAACATCACGTACGTCATCATTACATCTCAAATATTTAAAATGCTAACTTTGACAGCCCTAATACTCTATAAGTTTCTTAATTTATATGATCTGTAATTAATTTAGTGTGAGATGAGTGACCTAATCCAGAGCCCATGGGTCCCATCCCAGAATTCCCCATTCCACCAAATCCTCCACCTGATGAGAGAGAGAGAGAGAGAGAGAGAGAGAGAGAGAGAGAGAGAGAGAGAGAGAGAGAGAGAGAGAGAGAGAGAGAGAGAGAGAGAGAGAGAGAGTCAATAATTATTAGGTTTCGCAATTGTTTGTCGAATTGAGGAAAACCCATATTAATACCAAGTGCACACAGGGACCGAGTGAGGACAACTGAGCCCTCACAAGTATACAGTGGAGGAAAGGAGCATTGAACACATTGTCACGCTTTTCCTGGGAATATTGTTTCTAAAGGAGCTGCTGACATGGAACTGAACCAGACAATACAAACATAAAAATCATTAAAAATTATTTTTTTAAAATCTGAGTGGTGTGTAATAAGAATGGACTGACAGAGGGAGAAAGAGCTGAACTACTGAAACGTGTCTAATACTTGATATTAAAGGCTTTTTTTTAGCTGCAGCTTAAAGACGCCTCTCATTTATGGAGAATGAAGTCTCATGCAGTGCTCAGGTGTGAGTTTCTCACAGACAGTGTCCAAATCATGATGGTTCTGTGAGTCTCCTCTATCAAATCTGAGCTGTATTCGGCATGCTCTATTGAATTTAGCTCAGGTGATTGGCTGGGCCATTCTACAGCTTGATTTTCTTTCTCTGAAAGCATCTGAGAGTCTCCTTTGGTGTGTTTTGGATCGTTGTTTTGCTGAAATGTCCACCCTGGGGTCTGTTCTTCGTATGTGGATTACTCAGTTAGCTGGATTTGGATATTAATGATTAACTCGATCCAGGAATGTTTAGTTCTTCAAAACCCATCTGAGACGTGTTGTCATTGCAGGTTCATTTCATATAAACAGGATTAGATCGGGTCAGTTTAAGCAAACATAATACTGAATGTATGTACCAAATTCTGATATTTTCCTACAGTAGTTATATACACACTACATATACATACATACACACACATATATATATATATATATATATATATATATATATATATATATATATATATATATATATATATAGATATAAAGTTAAAAAATATATAATTAATAAAACTTATGCAATCTGCACTGCGAATAAAAGTACAAATACTGCCACCTGGTGGTGGTTCAAAGAGAAGATTTATTCATTTGATACAATTATATATTATTATTTTTAGATACACAAATTAATTTATACAGTTATTCCTTACGCTGATTAAAAAAACTTGAGTAGGCCTAGGCTACTATAATAAAGAAAATCTTCTCTAAATGTAGAACTAAACACATTGATATGCATTGAAATACATGATGAATACTCGACCCCTGGTTTCACCTTCATCCTCCAGCTGATGTAGAAGTTGGACTGAAGCAGCTGATATTCCTTTACACTGAGGAAGGGCAGAGGCTTGCTGAACAACTGCTGTGAGATTTCAGCTGCTGTCTGGGCTGCCCAAATACACCTCACTTTTTCATCCGCTCATACTTTTCTGTGCACCATTGTCATTTTCTCACTCAGAACTTCATTTGTAAACTAATTGGTTTTGCTTTCTTTGCATATATGGATTTCAAAAATATCAAGTCAACAGCTCCTTTAGAAATGTTTTCTGAGAAAAATGGAGATGTGTTCAACACTTATCTCCCCGATTGTAGCTAAACCAGTTCACACACAAAGCTGTACGCACCCAGACTGCTGAACGAGTCTCCGAATGAACGGCTCATTCCCAGATCATTTCTGCCGAAGTCCCTGTCCATCCCTCCCATTCCAGAGCGGTACATATCTGCAGAAACACCAGCGCTCAGAAACACTGCACTGACTGATGGAGACCCAGACTGTTATTCTCCTGTTTATCAAAGACAGATTGATGTTTACCTCCCATCCTGCCCATGGACATGTCTCTGCCACTGAATCCTCCCATTCCAGCCATACAGTCAATCCCAGAGAAACCTCCACCCATACCTACACACACACACACACACATATATCGAAAATACAATTATACACAGGGTAAACCTACATTCAAACAAGTCATGTTTACTGTTGTATTGTTTCTGGAAAAAACACTGCAGGTTTAAGTCAAATTTAAGAGAGTTAAGACCATTATTAATTATGTCAGTATTATACAGGGCTTTTTTCCTAATGGCCAGTGGAAAACTGTTTTACTTCTCCCCATATTTGTTTTTCTCCAAATGTAGACATGTCTAAGCCACATATTGTAAATAACATGTCAAAACAAGCAAACTACTAGAAAATAACAACTCTTTACTGGGACGACTTAAAAATGTGGCAAAGAAATTTGGGATATAATTAATGACGATCAGTGGGAGGTATATGCCAGAATACTTTCATTCCCCTTTCCAATAACAGAATAATTGAACAAAATTATAAATTTATACATACAATGTATCTGACCCCACTTTGTTTGAGCAAAATGTACCCTAATGTATCATCCAGGTGTAACAGACGTAAAACCTATTCAGGATCAATCATGCATGTTTTTGGGAATGCAAAATGCAAAGTTTTTCTGAAAAGCAGTACAGGATTTTACAGCCAAAGCTTTGCCAGTTCCATTGGACAACACACGAACACTATACGTTTTTGGTACAGAACTGAACAAGACACTTGATCTTACTTCTATAAAGAGACTCTGCATCATCTCCTATATAGCAAAAAAATGCATTTTGCACAACTGGAGCCAACAAAAACCTCCAACATTTGAACTGTTCATACAACACTTGAATGGAACTATATACATACTACTTTAAAAACAAAGGGAATGCCTTTCAAAAAAATATGGATGCCTCTAATAATCCTTTGACTCTATGAACACATCTGATGTATTTTCACAATATGTGTGACCTTAACCATGTTTTTTGTTTGTGTTTATTTATTTCTTTATTATTATTTATTTAATTATTGATTTTTTTCTCTCTTTGCCTTTTGCTGCTATACTTGTCTACTGATACATTTGTCTTTGCACTTTTTTGTTTACATTTGTATGTTCATTAAAAAAAAAAAAAAAAACATGCAAACTCTAGGTATATACTTTATGTTTGCTATAAAATATATACAACATAATAAACTAAATGTATGCACAACAGTGTGTCCAGGTCAGTGTCTTCAGCAGGCAGATATAAATACAAGGAGAATGTTTAAACATTATTGCTGGACTGTAAGGAAGATAATTAAACCATTTGGGTAGACAGAGTTAATAAATGTAAAAGTTGAGATGTGGTGTTGGTGATGGTATGGGTGTCTGCCTGATTGTGAAGCTTTACATAGACAAAACAGAATTAACACCCGTTTCAAATGATTTAACACCTACAACACCATATTACAATGAATCCAATAGTTACACTTTAAATGCAAAACTATTGATATAAAATTGAAGACACTGCGGACACCCTGACACACACTTCACAGATGACCAGAGCAGGTGTGTGTGTGTGTGTGTGTGTGTGTGTGTGTGTGTTAAACATCTCACCACTCATGCGGTTCATGTTGCTGCATCCTCCATCCATCCCTGATAAACCAATCAATCAATAATCATTAGCCAATGCATCATGCGATTAATAATAATGCAGATAAAACACTAATCTACACATATTATTAGCTGGATTTCCATCAGCCTGTATTAAAGGGATGGTTCACCCCAAACAGAAAATTCTGTTGTCATCATTTACTCTCTTTGTTTCAGATTTTTTTTTTAACTTTTTTTCTGTTGAACACAAAAGAAGATATTTAGAAAAATGCTAACAATCTGTAACCATTGACTCCCATACTAGTTGTTTTTCCTACTATAGAAGTCAATAGTGACAGGTTTTCAGCATTCTTTAAACTAAGGTCTGGAACCACTTGAGAGTGAGTACATTTGAATTTTTGTGTGACCGGTCCCTGTAAAGCTGCAGCATGTAGGACTGACAACCTAGTGGTTCAACTAGGTATTGCATAACATCTAAAATATTAAAAATGTTGAAGTTTTTTTATTACACTGCAGGTGAAAAAAAACTGTATTTTATAAACTTATATATTATATATATATTATTACAAATATATACTATTGGAGCCTGTTTGATCGAGCCTTATGCTGCGTTCATACCAGACACGGAAGAAGCGGCAGGCGATTTACATGTTAAATCAATGCAAAGACGCGAATAGACATCCTGCAGTGCGATACGTGCGAATGGCGAGGCAAGAATGAAGCGATACGCGCGAATGAGCATTTGACACGCAAATCGCTCAAGTTCAAAAATCTGAACTTCAGCGGACATTCGCGCCGCGTTAACCAATCAGGAGCTTGCTCTTGTGGGGGTGTGATTATGACGTAGCGCCTGTTGTTGATGCCCTAGGGAAAAATCCTCCAGCCGACACCGACAACAGTTCATCAAACTGGGCTGGGCTCAGTCAGAAGCACCGCTGAAAGCCTCCATCATCCAGGTTCAGTTTCTGGAGGAGTTTGTGAGCTCACAGAGCTGCTGCACCTCTGAAAGGATGTAGTGGACTCAGACACTGCTCCAAATGAATCGACGCTGCTTTTTTAGCCTTTATTAAGCACATAAACACAGTTATTCTCTCAATAAAATCCATGTCAGCCGTTTAGCAATGAAGCTAAAATCACCGGGCAGACAGAAGCCCTGCCAATCACGCGAATCCACGTATGTTCTGAAATATATACAAGTGTGAATGAAGCGGATTTTGACACAAATGAAGCGAGTAAACTCAAATATTCACGCGTCTATTTACGCTCAAATAGCAAGATTTATCCATGCGTTCTGCGTCTGGTGTGAACACAGCATTACACTGTAAGCTGCACAGCTATTATCGATGTTTGTAACATTAGTATTATTTACCAATTAAAAACTACCTTGTGTATTTTTATAACCAAGCAGAATAACAGACTTCAGCACTCCTTCTCAGATAAACAAGTATGTTCACTTAGCGTTTCTAAAATATCTGCAAACATTTTATGCTATTTTATGTGTTAGGAGTCAAAAATGTACATGCAGCACCATTAATGCATATTTTAAAGTATTACCTGAGAAAGGAATTGTCAAATTTCAAATAAAAATGTGTTCATTTGCAGTCGTTATTATGATGGATTTTACCAACTCTTAAGGTGGTTTTACCAATACTGCAGCCAGCTGCTCTAACAACGGTGCAAATGCACATAATTCACATTTTAGATTTTTTTGCAAACTTTAGAAAGATTTGATTCATGTTAGGATGGAAACCCAGCTAATGATCAGAGACACTTTAATAGCATCAAGATGGAATCCTCTGATTAAAGCTCAAGCAGAATAAATGCAGTTAGCCAGTCGGTTTAATTAATGTCAGTTGAATTACATTATTTAAAGCTTGAATTTAATCTGAAATGGATTTTAGGAAAAAACAGTGCATTTAAATAAATCAGCTAAAATTACATGATTTGCATGACTTAAAATGCAAATAAGTAAAAGCATGCATAATTTTGCATAAACACACCTCCAGGTCCCATCGAGCTTCCACTGAGACAGTTGGCGTTTATTGGCTGGCCACCAGGACCCAAACCCATCCCGATACCACCCAGACCCCCTGAAATACAAAAACACCGAAAATACAATTATACACAAACAAGCAAGTCATATTCACTGCTGCATTGTTATAATCGAGATAAAAACATTTCACATTTATTAAGCTTTTGGCATATTCTAAACCTTAAAGCCCTCATTGTAACATTAGAAATGGGGCATTACAGAGGTATGTGTTGACTTTGAGAATAATAACTCTGCAGTGTGGCTGTGCAGTAATGTAATATTCTCAATGCACACACTGAGCTCTTACTGGGCAACTGTGGAGACTTCTCGACAGGCCGGAAATCATCAGGAGGAAGAGATTTATCATCCTGCAAGAAAACACACAATGAATGAGCACACACAACACAGAAACACAGGCTGCTCAATAACATGTGTAACATCTCACCATCTTTACATGCATCTGTCTGTCGAACAGCATCTGACCGTTGAACATTGCTGAGCACCGAGTCAAGGAGCAGAACATCAGTACATAACATTCATAACAATACAGGAGGCAGAGAATAAAATTCAATACTGTCATAACCTTTATTTAGGACTCCTTCAATACATTTTATCCTTATCAAGCCACATTGACTGTTTTAACCGGTAACATTGGCCACATTTTAACTTTAAAATATATAATTAGTGAATAATTTAAAGTCTTCTTCAAAGTGCTTCTCTCAGTGTGTGTGTATGTTTGAGGATACAGATAGCCTGAACGGCCTCCAGTGGCTGCTCGAAGGTCACCGTCCCCATCCCACGACTCTTTCCATCTTTGTCTTCCTTCACATCGGCTCTCCTCACGGTGCCGGCCATCCCGAACACCTCCTTCAGCTTCTTCCAGCCCACCTTAAAGTCCAGCTGAGAGGCACACACAATTAAAGTCAAAATACTAGCTCTGCTGAACTATAAGCCCTGTGTATGTTTAACACCTGTACAATTTTCTGTTAAACATGTTCCCTAGTGTTTTTGGGGCAACAATATATACTAGTTAGTCCATGATTCAGGAAATATCTGAAAAACAAAACACACACACCAACATCAAGCCTGCGGTAGAGCAGATCAGTGCAGTGGCAGAAAACAGATCTTCAAACACGCCTCGTCAAGAAATCAGTGTTTTAACTAATGAACACAGCAGAAGTGTTTCTTAAATTACAATATTTTGTGTTCAGTCTGGAAAACGTTTAGTTTTTTAGCTAAACATTTAAAGAGAGAATATTTTGGAGCAATAATGACAACACTGTTGTTTTTAATCTAAGGTTTTTATGCCGTCAGACTCTTATACCGGAATACAAATCTGTATCTGACACACATGAAAAAACATTGTGTGTGTGTTTAGTTATTAAACATACTGAATCTTATAGCTGTGAGACTCACGTTGGCCACAAAGATGGTGGCTCCGAGGCGTCCAGCCTGCAGGGCGCTGATGATCTCGTGGGGAATGTTGGGGTTGTTGGCGATGGATGGAGGAATGTTTATTCCTGATGAATCCTGCCCTCGACCACCGCCGTACATCCGGCCCGACCTCTGGAGGACACGCCGAGCATGCTCTCCATCTGGATCCTGTATATATATATATATATATAAATAAATAAATAATCAAACACCACTCAAACAGTTAAAGTCAGAATTATTAGCTCTTCTTAATTATTTGCCCTCTGTATATTTTTTCCCTACTTACTGTTTAGCACTTTTTCCTACACATTTCTGAACATAAGTTTTAATAACTCATTTCTAATAATAGTTGTGTGATTTATTATCTTTATTTCATCTTTATTGTATTGAGTTAATTAGGGAAGTCACTGGTCTACAGTGGTTTGTTCTGTAGATAACTGAAAACAAATATTGCTTTTGGGGGCAAATGATATTGCGTAGAGTTGCTGAAGTTCGCCCTGCGCACTTACGGGTTTTAAGAAACTTCTTTGGTGCGTCAATCTTGTCAATGTTATAATTCAAAAAAGTAATGATTCACACTCATCAAGTAACTGCTTTGCACTTTTTTATTTTTTCTTCTTACATTCTTCTGGTGATTTAAAGACACAAACGTCTCGGCACAATGCCTTCCTCAGTGTGTCAATCACACACAGAGGAAGGCATTGTGCCGAATCTTGTGTCTTTAAATCACGTGAAGAATGTAAGAAGAAAAAATAAAAACAGTACGAAGCAATTACTTGAGTGCGAATCATTACTTTTTTGAAAAATAATATTGACCATAAAAAAGGGCTTTTATGACAACTATTAGCAGCATTCACTACAAGGGCCGCACTTGTGATTTGACTTGTGGAGTGTGTAGCAGCACCTCTTTGATGTTGAGCGGTCGTCCATTCAGATCATGTTTGCTCATTACTTCAATAGCCTTCTTCACAAACTCTTCATCTTTAAACTCAACCACACTGAAAGAAACATTACTGCAGGTCAATACTGATAAGAGGACACTACATAACAAACATCAATAAGAGACGACACAAAAAATAAAGACTTTTAACTATACATTTAAAACATGATTTTTCATTTTGATATATGATCACTCCATTGTTTTAATCTACTTTTATTAATACATTCAAAATATTACATAAACATCACATCATTAGTGATGCCAAAGTCATGAGTAGGCCCACACAGAATCTGCACACGCAGAATTACACAGATTTTTAGCCCATCATTGAGTCCATTTACTTGTGTAAATGTGTACATTTATATTTATTCAGTTTTTTATTAATTCCAGTAACATTATTGACTGATGAAAATGTTCAATTTATTTACAATATAGTTTGTAAAGTGATATTTTCTGTCTTTTAGTAGAGATCTTATATAGAAGACTTGCTTTGTTTACCAAATAAAGTGAATCTAATTGGATTTGCATTGTAAACATTAAATGCAAGTTTAAACAGGTATTACCTTTTGGTTTATATATTAAGGTTTTTGTTGTGATACTCCCAAAATTATTCAGCATAAATCTGCAGATTTTAAACAAAATTCTGCGCAGAAATAGTAAAAATGTCTGCAGATTCCGTCTGGCCCTAGTGATGAGTTCAAACCTCTTAGATTGCATGGACAAAAATGCCTAAAAGAGATAGTTCATGCAAGTATCATCCCTCAAATATTTCCAAACCTTTATGAGTGTCTTCTGTAACACAAAACAAGAGATTTTCAAGATATTTTCTGTGTTTAGCCAAAGAAACGCAGAGGCTAGGCCTGTCACGACATCCATTTTTTTGCTATATGATATATTCCACCAAGATACAGTGTAATAAACTATATTATTATCATTGCCAAATTGGTCGACATCGTCCAACCCTAATAGAGATGTTGCACAAACAGCTAAAAATGTTGCTTGTTTTTTATGTATGGGCGATGTATATTGCATCACCAATAATGACTGAGCACATGTCCACGTGTTGTGTGATAAGTCCATATATTGATTATTGTGACAGGCCTAGCACAGGTTTGAAGCAAGTACTGACAGAATTTTACATTTTGGCTGAACTGTCTGAAAAAAGCGTGTTCACTTAGCATGATTCTGAAATATCTGCAGACATATTATGGTGTTTTTATGCTTTAGAAGAGTCAAATTTACTTACAGCCTCTTTACAGATCAATGCAAGTCTATTTTTTACAACAGCATTTACAAAAAGGGCATCAATGAAACGTGTTGAGCGTGTTTCTTACCCGCAGCCCTGCAGGTGCATCCCAGAACAAGCAGGAAGAAGAAGAGAACAGCGGAGGATGACAGGAAAACAAAAAAACACCATTAACATCTCATCAGTTCATAATAGCTTAAACACACACACACACACACACAGACAGACAGACACACACACAAAGATTGATTTCATCAGAGAGATCATTACGACATGCTGCCGTGTGCATCTACTACATCGAGAGCGTTTGAGGAGCTCGTGGCTACGGTGGGATGGACAAATGAGACTGGATCTTTAGTTACGGGGAGACAGAGAGAGAGAGTGGATCAAACAGACAGATGGATAGAGGAATTGAGGGAAGAAGACACCTGATGGATGACTCTCATAGGTCAGTTAAAGTCCAGATCAAAATAAACACCTAACAATCATCAGAGGTGAGACAGATGGACCCCAGCCAAACGGGTCACCACCCATTTAAAAGGACATCCAAATCATCATCATCATCATCATAATAATAATAGTCATCGTTGCCATATCATCATCATCAGCATTAAAAAATATCATCTTTACTGTATCATCATCATCATCATATCATCAACACCATCCTGAGGTCACAGGTACAGCAGTGTATCGCCTCTACCGGCAAATCCAAAAGCAATATTAACCTGTCACAGACAGCGCAGATTCACCAACATCACTTACCCTTGACTTTCCTTCTCCATCCTTAAAGAGTTCCACGTATGTAACCTCACCAACTACATGAGACATACAAAGGGAAAATACCACAGAGAACAAGGCATTTAAATCACCAGTGTCTCGTCACAGGGTCGCCCTGGTGCAACGCTAGCCCAGTGACACACACACTCATAAAAACACACACGCACTCATACACACACATCTGCGCCCCGCTCTCGAGCGCCACCATTTCGCCACTTTTCATACAGGAGCAATGAAAGAAACCCACCTGTACAATCCTTCTAGCTACAGTGAAAGACTACATCAATAAAACACCAGAGCGGCCTACAGTCAGAATATATAGACCAGCTAGAGAAACGCTCTGTCCGACATTCACTCTCTGAGCTCTAGAAATGACAGATACGAGAGAGGGAGAGGACGGGACGGGGCGCTGTGCTCTCTGTGTGCGTTACCTTTCTCGCGCATTAGATCTTTAATTGCCTGCCACTTCTTATCATAAGGGATATTGCTAATGAAGACCCGGTTCCTGTGGGTGGTCTTCTTGTCTGCGCCGCCGCTTCGCTCTTTGTACGGATGGTAGCGGTGCGACTTGCGGCCCCCTGAATTCTTCTCTTTGGACTCCGACTTGTCCTCAGTGTCACTGCAAACATATATAAAGAGAAAAAAAAGGGTTAAAATAACACCTCTAAAAATACAGACTTCAAAGCTCAGTGGGGTTTTAGCTTTAGGTCACTGTTCAGTGAGTAAAAAATATTATTATTATTATTATTATAATATTGAGATTATTATATTGTTTTCAGATGTCTCCGTTTTCCCCCATCCACACTGAGACAGAGCAGCAGCATTTCAGAATGAAAACGAGACGCTGAGATATGAGACGCTCCATTTTCAGCGCTCGAAAACCCCGGTGTAGTGTGGACGGATGACGTAACCATCACAAAACTTATGCGCTTTAAAATGAAAACACATTAGTGTAAACGGGCCTTAGTGTTAAAATGGCATTTTAGAACGAAAATGATCTACATCCACACCGTGTTTTACCTAGCATTTCTGAACAGCCCTCCATCCGCTGAAGATGGAGGAAATCCAAGTTTATTTTTCAGACATCCCAAGTCTCCTGGAAGTTCCGGGAGTCTCTGTGCATTTGCAGGATTCATAATGCCCGCAAACAAGTAATAATCTCCCAAAAATTCCACTTCTTCCTCCCGGTTCTCAAATAAGTCATGCACCCTTCTCACCCCAGGATCCCTCCTTGCTCTTCAGACGTGTTGTGCGCACTCTATCAACCACCCCAACCCCACTTTTCACATGACAATGCCATCGCGACGTTTCACACAAGACATCGTACAATGCCAATTTAGTCGACATCACACAACCCTACCAAGAAGTATTGTGATACTGTAATTCATAACTCAAACTATAAAGAAAATTGTCAGAAATACCAGCAATCCAGATGTGCATTCGAACTAACTGAAGAGCCAGAAAACATGCAATAGGCTACCATAAAAGGTGGAAGTTCTACACAGATTTGCAACCATAAAGGGCTCCACAGACTATTAAATAAAATAGTCTATTGCTGCACAAACGTGTGAGCATTTTAGTGACTTTCCCACATGAAACCATTAATAACGATACTACCGTTTACAAACTACAGTGGCACCGCCACTATTTTGGAGCGGTAGTATCGCGATAGTAGTACCGGTAAACTGTGCAACCCTACTGTGATGTGACTACCACTGCTGAAATGATATATTGTGCAGCACTAATCTTAAGTAAACAATTTAAGCACACTTGAAACTATTGATTGTTTTTTTATTAATTGTTTGGATTAGTCACTTTTGTTAATTGGTGAAGTTTGTTCCTCCACGGTCACCCTTGGCTTGCTTGGTTTGAGACTTGTGGAGATGGATTTGCTATTCAGTGTTTTCTCCTTCAGCAGTGAAAATTAACGTTAAACCACACTTAACTTCAACTCTGACAACTGGACTGACACGGTTTCAGTTTACTAGAACTTCTGTGTTCAGCTGTGGCGACAATCTACATTGTAAAAGTGCTAGAGAAATAAAGATGAATTGAATATCCGCCAATTAAGTTGATGGATTAATCAATAGTTTTTAACGGCAGCCCTAATAGCTAAATATTAAGAAAATGTTCAACACCACTTTTGGTCAAATCAAATAAATAATGCACTGCAGGTAATTCAAACAAGCAGATTACCCTGGATGTAAATGCAACACTCAAAATTAAGATTTTTCTCACATCAAAAAGCTGAAAAAAGAAAAGTAATATCTATAATAATAATAATAATAATAATATACTCGATACTCTAGTTGATCTTTTAATTTCACTTCATGTTAATCTTTTTCTTTATAACGTTAATGGTTTTCTAAATAAAGAAACATACAATACAGGTTTAACATGATATCTGCATACTGTGCGTTCATATTCTGGTGTCCTCTGCATGACTGTAACTTACGCAGAAAATACTGTAATCTGCATACATCAAATTAGGTATTCACATAATCACTGTCTCGCATCAAGTCACGCATTGTTCAGTATTCTCTCGCACAAATGATAACGTTAGTATTTTAGTTTCTGGCAAAAACTACAAGAGTTCGCTGTGCTTTCACACGAGTCTATAATCACTCTAAACAAAATCGCGCAGTTTTCTCAGAGCATACATTGCTCGCTTCTAGAAAATCAATGGCGGCTGATGGGCGGTTGCTATGGGTTACCGCTCTGAATGGCGCGGACCGCTTATGAACGCAGCACAACAAAACAGACAAACGAGAGAGAAATACGCGCTGTGATGAACGAAAACCAAAGGAAATCATTTAATTTAGCAGAGATTATCGACAATAAGCGGCCTGAAGCACAAATAATCGCGAATCTTTCTCTCTGTGAGCAGAAAGCCTCGCGCGCAGGCCGTGCAAACAACACGTAAGCGATAGAAGCGACGCATACAGGGATTGATTTAAAAGGCTCAACATTACGTTTTGTCGCCATTCGTGTCGTCTTGGTTCTGCTCGGGCTCCTGTTCGCATTCGTCCGCCGGAGAATCGCCGGTTTCTTCGTCTTTGATTTCGGTGAGATCCGCAACCTGCTCTGTGTCCGCCATTACTGCTGCTGCTGCTCTGAGGCCCCGCGCAGTTATCGCGAGATTTCGCCCGAATACTGGTGGGGTTTTGATAAGAGCGCCATATCCTGTTCGCTAGAATTAATACATTTCTGATGAACCTTTCTTATGTAGGCAATTTTGTAGCTCCAGCAAGATAATAAATAATTAATAAATAAATCAAATGAAAAGAGATGTTTCAAGGTCCTGTGAAATTTAAATAGTTTATGTTAGTATCAGTAAGTTAGTCCCAAGGATATCTAGTGTGCTTCAAAACAGTGACAAAATTCACACATAGAAGATAAACCTATTATAAAAAGCTAAAGCTTGCCGTTTGTCTCTTCCACATAAATAGAATAACATTTTTGACGTCACCACAAACTTCAGCTTCTCATCAAAACTTCTGACCAATCAAATGCTGTCTAATGTCTGACATGCCCCGCCCCCTTCAAGACCCCTGCCATGGAGATAAGAGCATTTGTCATCTTCATTATCTTTGTTCTGCCCATTTTGATTCTGATTACATCATAATGTTTAGTGCCTAATTTTTAGTTTCAAGTATTAAATTCTGGTCAACAGAGCCAAAGGAAAGCCAGTTACCTGATCAGACGTATCACAAAGACAACCCAACAAAACACAGACCAAAAGCAATAGGCTGAGACAATATTCACATACACATTTTGATTGTGCTTATTTAAGTTATATAATGTAATGTAATCACATATAATAATAGGAATGTACTGTCACATATAATAAAACTAAATGGACTTATTCAACTTACAAATGACGATTTCTAGCAATTTATCATAAAGTGGCACATAATCATGCTAAGTGCTATTAGAGCAAAGTTTTAGCACTTGTCTAGAAAAATAAAAGTTAGATCGAGATATATTAAAGAAAGAGAAAGTTGTTGTTTTTTTCAGGAAAGTGCTCACAGAAGAGTCTCAGCTGTTTCTGAAATATTGTCAGGGATTCAGGATTCGGAGAGATTGAGAAATTTTATAACCTGACAGGAACAGTAAATGAGAAGGGTCTGGAAAGTCATTTGGTGATTAAAATTTCCAAGTAGTTTCAACAGCTGGGTTAAAACTGTTTGTCAATATTTACCCAAATTTAGGTTTAAAGAATCCAGCTTATTTGATATAATGAGTTCAATTATTAACCACAAGCTTCTGAAGTGGATGTAGAATGATGGAGTTACACTGACTCCAAACTAGACACAATACGAACTGTGACATGCATCGTTTCCACGTTAAAAGTTTTTTTTTTGTCCTAACCATCCACGACAGAGTTTCCTATTTATGCAATTTCACAGCTAAACTACTTTGACAATGATCACCACAGGTACTCGGGTACACCAGCAGATAGTTTTCCTCAGAACTAAAAAAAAACTATATAAACCTCAATGACAACAAACTAATACAAACCCCTTACCTGTTCAACAACTAACCAATATAGCCTAGCAACCAACTACAACCTCAATGCAAACTACTATAACCCTAGCAACCACCTATAATCATTCTAGCAACTAACTACTAAACCATAAGAACCACCTACAACCTCACTTACAGCTAACTATTAAACCCTACAAACACCTATAACCTCAAAAAATGAACTAGTAAACCCTAGCAACCACCTATAACAACTAGCTATACACCCTAACAACCACCTACAACTTTACCTACAACTAACTACTGTATCCTAGTAACAACTTACAACCTCTCTAACTACTCTCTATCAACCAACAACAATTTTAATGACAAGTACTGTACGCTAGCAACCAACTACAACCTCAATGCTGTCTAACTAAACCCTAGCAACCACCTACAATCATTCTAGCAACTAACTACTAAACCTCAAGAACCACCTACAACCTCACCTCAACCCTACAAACACCTATAACCTCAAATAATGAACTAGTAAACCCTAGCAACCACCTCTAACAACTTACTATACACTCTAACAACCACCTACAACTTACTACTGTACCCTAGTAACAACTTGCAACCTCTCTAACAACTCTCTATCAACCAACAACAATTTTAATGACAAGTACTGTGCTAGCAACCAACTACAACCTCCATGCTGTCTAACTAAACCCTAGCAACCACCTACAATCATTCTAGCAACTACTAAACCATAAGAACCACCTACAACCTCACTGCTAACTATTAAACCCTACAACCACTTATAACCTCAAATAACGAAATAGTAAACCCTAGCAACCACCTCTAACAACTAGCTATACGCCCTAACAACCACATACAACTAACTACTGTACTCTAGTAACAACCCAAAACCTCTCTAACAACTCTCTATCAACCAACAACAATCTTTATGACAACTACTGTACTATAGCAACCATCTACAACCATTCTAGCAACTAATTACTAAATGCTAACAACCACCTACAAACTTTCTAATTACTAAACCTTGACAACCACCGACACTGTCACTTACAGCGAACTATTAAATCCTTACAACTACCTATAACATCAATAAATGAACTGGTAAACCATAGCAACCACCTATAACAACTACACCATAACAACCACCTACAACTTTATCTACAACTAGTGTACGCTAACAACAACCTACAACCTCTCTAACAACTCTCTATCAACAAACAATAATCTTAATGACAACTACTGTGCCCTAGCAACCACCTATAACCTCAATGTTGTCTTACTGTACCCTAGCAACCAGCTACATGTTCAATGACGACTAACTATGAAACCCTAGCAACCACCTGCACATTCTATGTTGAATGTCGACAACACCAAAGGAAATACCAACTAATTCACTACTACCCACAACACCCTAGCAACCACCTAGCAACATCATGTATTGCATTGTATTGAATTGTTGAATCAGTTGATATTAAGTTTGCAGTTAGTAATCATAGAGGTTGTAGGCATATGCTAGGGAATTGTAGTTTGTTGTTAAATAGGTTGTTGTTGGTTGCTAGTGTACAGTGGTTAGAGAGTTTGATGGTTGCTAGGATATACTAGCTATTGAACAGGTTGTTGATAGTTGCTAGGGTATTGTAGTTGGTTGTTAGATAGGTTGTAGATGGTTGCTAGTGTTTAGTCATCTTTGAAGTTGACGGTGGTATTGTCGTTTTTAAGGTTGTAGGCATGTGCTAGGGAATTGTAGTTAGTTGTTAAGGTTGTTGTTGGTTGCTAGGGTACAGTACTTTGAGAGGTTGATGGTGGTTGCTAGGATATATAGTAGCCATTGAAGAGGTTGTAGGTAGTTGCTAGGGTATTGTAGTTAGTTGTTAGACAGGTTGCTAGGGTTTAGCAATTAGTCATCATTGAGGTTCTGGGTGATTGCTAGCGTATAGTAGCTGTTAAAGAGGTTGTAGGTGGTTGCTAGGGTATAGTAGGTTTTTGTTAGTAGCTGTTGAAGAGGTTGTAGGTGGTTGCTAGGGTATAGTAGCTATTTGTTAGTAGCTGTTGAAGAGGTTGTAGGTGGTTGCTAGGGTATAGTAGCTATTTGTTAGTAGCTGTTGAAGAGGTTGTAGGTGGTTGCTAGGGTATAGTAACTATTTGTTAGAGAGGTTGTAGGTGGTTGCTAGGGTATAGTGGCTGTTGATCAGGTTGTAGGTGGTTGCTAGAGTTTAGCAATTAGTCATCTTTGATGTTGTAGGTGGTGTTGAACAGTAATTTGAAAGGTTGATGTTGGTTGCTAGGATATAGTAGCTATTGAAGAAGTTGTAAGGGGTTGCTATGATATTGTAGCTTTTGAACAGGTTGTAGGTGGTTGTGAGAGTTTAGCAATTAGTCATCTTTGAGGTTGTAGGTGGTGTTGAATAGTAATTTGAGAGGTTAATAGAGGTTGCTAGGATATAGTAGCCATTGAAGAGGTTGTAGGTGGTTGCTAGGATATTGTAGTTGTTAGGCAGCTTGTAGGTGGTTGCGAGGGTTTAGCAGTTAGTCATCTTTGAGGTTGTAGGTGGTTGCAAGTGTTTAGTAGTTAGAGAGATTTATAATGCTTGCTTGGATAAATAACTCACCAAGTACCTACAACACCCTAGCAACCACCTAGCAACACCAAATACTGTGATATTGAATTGGCACATTGGGTTAAAAGGTGTCGCTGTGCCTTTAAAAGCACGCTGAGCTGCATCAGTTGTGCTGGAGCATCTAATGAAGCTTTAAGCACAAGGTCTAATTGAGTTACACACTAATGAAAGAGACACACACCGAAGCGGCTGCACCACTGCGCATTCACATGTCAGATCTGCCAAACACACACACACAGGTGAGAGAAGAGTGCAAGCGTGCATGCAGGAAAAATAGTCCAGATTCAGCGGAGACTAACAAGTGGTTGCACAATGTGAAAGAGAGAGAGAGAGAGAGATACAGAGACGACAGCAGCAGCACTGCCAGATCATTCTCTGAGCGTTTCTCTTCATTTCGCCAGAGGAACTCCTGCTGTTTCTCTTCTTCTGCAGTGATGAGGGCTCCGGCAGCGGGCATAGGAATATCACACTGACCGCCTACAGCAGGTCTGACACAATCAGGCCGAAATGAAGGTGAGATAAAGCTCAATTCAGCTCATATATATGCATGTGTGTGTGTGTGTGTGTGTTTAAGCCACCTGCTGCTCATCCACACCCATACTGAAATTGTGGATACTGAATTTCTGCAGCACATATGCCAATAACATTCGATTCCGAGTCCAATGCAACAGGTCCTGCTGCCTCCTGATTAAACACGTCGCATGTGTGAAACGCTCCTGAGATTCCTCGAGTGCACATGTCATGTTTGCAGTGCTGCATTCTGCATCTTTCCTGAGGGAGTGTGTTTTACTGTTGCTGCAGCTCTGGTGTTGCTAAAAATACTGATAGATGTGATCTCTCCTCTGACCCGTTTACTTCAGATATAGGTGAGCATGCTCGCATCAATGACTCCCACGATGCACCAGTCTATAGTTAGAACTTTTCACTAAAATTCCTTGGTTGCTAGGTTATAGTATTTAGTTATTAATGAGGGTGTAGCTGGTTGCTAGGGTACTGTACTTTTAAGAGAGGTTGTAGGTGGTTGCTAGGGTGTAGTATTTAGTTTTTAAAGAGGTTGTAGGTGGTTGCTAGGCTATTGTTGTTTTAAGAGGTTGTAGGTGGTTGCTATGGTACATTATTTAGTTGTTATAAAGGTTTTAGAGGGTTGCTAGGCTATCATAGTTAGCTGTTAGAAAGGCTGGTGGTTGCTAGGCTATTGCGGTTTTTAAGAGAGGTCATATGTGGTTGCTAGGGTATAGTAGTTAGTTGTTAAGCAGGTTGAAGGTGGTTGCCAGGGTATTGTACTTTTAAGAGAAGTTGTAGGTGGTTGCTAGGGTGCAGTATTGAGTCATTAAAGAGGTGGCAGGTGGTTGCTAGGCTATTGTAGTCTAAAGAGGTTGTAGGTGGTTGCTATCATACATTATTTAGTTGTTATAAAAGATGTAGGGGGTTGCTAGGGTATCGTAATTAGTTGTTAGAGAGGCTGTAGGTGGTTGCTAGGCTATTGTGGTTTTAAAGCGAGGTCATAATTGGTTGCTAGGATGTAGTAGTTAATTGTTAAGGAGGTTGTAGGTGGTTGCCCGGGTATTGTACTTTTAAGAGAGGTTGTAGGTGGTTGCTAGGATGTAGTATTTAATTGTTAGAGAGGTTGTAGGTGGTTGCTAAGATATAGTATTTAGTTATTAGAAAGGTTGTAGGTGGTTGCTAGGGTGTAGTATGTAGTTGTTAGGGTGGTTGTAGGTGGTTGCTAGGCTATTGTAGTTTTAAGAGGTTGTAGGTGGATGCTAGATACATTATTTAGTTGTTAGAAAGGTGGTAGGTGGTTGCTATGGATTTTAAAAAAGGTTATAGGTGGTTGCTAGGGTATAGTAGTTAGTTGTTTGGAAGGTTGTAGGTGGTTGCCAGGGTATTGTACTTTGTTTTAAGAGACCTTGTAAGTGGTTGCTTGGCTGTATTATTTAGTTCTATAGTTTAGTTTATTATTTATTATTTAGTAGAGGTTATAGGTGGTTACTATGGCACGTTATTTAGTTGGTATAGAGGTTGTATGGTGTTGCTACGCTATTGTATTTTTAAGAGAGGTTGAAGGTGTTTACAAGAGTATAGTAGTTAGTTGGTAGGGAGGTTGAAGGTAGTTGCTAGGGTATTGTAGTTAGATATTAGGAGGTTGTAGGTGGTTGTCAGGGTAATGTAGTTTTGAGAGAGGTTGTAGGTGGTTGCTAGAGTGTATTATTTAGTTGTTATAAAGGTTGTATGGGGTTGCTAGGCTATTGTATTTTTAAGAGAGGTTGTAAGAGGTTGCTAGAGTATGGTTGTTAGCTGTTAGGGAGGTTGAAAGTGGTTGTTAGGGTTCTGTAGTTTTAAGTGAGGTCATAGGTGGTTGCTAGGGTATAGTAGTTAGTTGTTAAGGAGGTTGTAGGTGTTTGCCAGGATATTTAGTTGTTAGATGGGTTGTAGGGGGTTGCTATGATATATTATTTAGTTTTTATAGAGGTTTTAGGGGGTTGCTAGGGTATCATAGCTAGTTAAAGAGGGTGTATCTGGTTGCTAGGGTATTGTAGTTTTAAGAGAGGTTGTATGGGGTTGCTATGGTATATTATTTAGTTGTTAAAGAGGTTGTAGTGGGGTTGCTAGGCTATTGCAGTTTTAAGAGAAGTTGTTGGTGGTTACAAGGGAATGATAGTTAGGGAGGTTATAGGTGGTTGCTAGGGTATAGTAGTAAATTGTTGTAGAGATTGTAGGTGGTTGCTAGGGTATAGTAGTTAATTGTTGGAGAGGATGTAGGTGGTTACTAGGATACAGTATTCAGTTGAGATTGAATTTAGGTGGTTGCTAGGGTTTAGCAGTTAGAGAGGTTGTAGGTGGTTGCTAGGATACATTAATAATTGGAAAGGTTGTAGGTGGTTGCTAGGGTCTAGTAGTGAGTTGTTGGAGGGTGCAATTTCATGCCACAGGAAGTGGGTGTGTTTAAGTTCATATTTACAACACTATCTCCCTATGCTAATGAGGGAGAGACCATCACTAGTGGACATACACAAAGAGAGAATGTCAATCAAAGTGTTTCTGCAGACAACAAATAAATTTTTACTATTAGAAACTGATTATGTACACAGACAGTTGCTAATTGTGTTTTAAACCATTCTAAAAGTGAGTTTTGCATAATAGGTGCCCTTTAAAGTCTGACAAACATGCAATAAAAAATCAGTGAGGGGACAGACACTTGTCACACCACTGTATACAAGAATGTCTCAGCAAATCCTAGAGGGTCTGAGTAATTTAGTGAAGTGCTGTGTTGAGCTCTTGATGTCTGTCTGACTCTGCATATAATAAGATCTCTCACCTCCACAGGCGTCTGTACTGATCTGATGAGTGCATGAAGGATGCTGGGGCTGGAGCGGGAACATGTGTAGTGTTCACTATAACCACAGCCTGGCGGCCATGAGCGGCAGTGACATCATGGCTTATTCCCTGAGCCTGGAGCAGAAGACGGCGTTTGCGTTTGTGGGGATGCTGCTGGTGTTTCTGGGTCTGTTGATCGTCAGGTGTTTTAGGATCCTGCTGGACCCTTACAGCAGCATGCCTTCATCCAGCTGGGGTGACGGACTGGAGGGTTTGGAGAAAGGGACGTTTGAATATGCACTTACCTGAGAAACACCTTCCCAATCTCTGCCCTAGACCACATAGAGCCTCTGCACCATGCGGGAGCGTCCACACGGGATGCACTGAGCAAGGATGCATACTGTTAAACATGAAAGATGCAATTGCCAAAGATGTCAGCTGGATGCATGCACACACGCTGACCCAACAATTGCAGAAGTTAGCAAGAACGTGTCCTTGCGTGAACGCCCCCCAATTGGTGTTGAGAATCCATCCAATGACACGCTGTGATCACTGACGCATGATCTGCTGTTATGACATCGAAGTTGGAGGGAAAGTGCTTTAGTTTCACGATTGGCTGCTTTTTGGATTATGATGTCACACCGATAAGCCAATGGGCATCTCAGGGAAGAAAGGAGAAAGACATGGACCTAGAATGCTATGGTAATTCATAGTAACCACGGTAGTGCTTTGAACCATACTCTGGTGAAGTCCTTGAATTAATCGGTTGTGGTGATTCTATAGCTGCTATGGCAACACAATAACTACAGTGATTGATCTAAGGTCGTAATTCTATATTTGCTATGGTAACACAACAACTACAGCAATTGATCTGTTGTGGTGATTCTACAGTTGCTATGGTAACGGAACAACTACAGTAATTGATCTGTAGTGATGATTTTGTAGTTGCTATGGTAGCAAAAAAACTACAGCAATTGATCTGTTGTGGTGGTTCTATAGTTGCTATGGTAACACATCAACTATAGTAATTGATCTGTTGTGGTGATTCTACAGTTGCTATGGCAACACAACAACTATAGTAATTGATCTGTTGGGGTGATTCTACAGTTGCTATGGTAACACAACAACTACAACAGGTCAATTGTTGTACTATAGAATCCCCGCAATATATCAATTACTGTAATTGCTATAACAATAGAATTACTACAACAACTACAGCAATTGATCTGTTGTGGTAATTCAACTCTAGCAATTGATCTGTTGTTGTGATTCTATAGTTGCTATGGTAACACAACATCCTAGTAATTTTTTGGTTGTAGTAATTCTAGAGTTGCTATGGTTACACAATAGCTACAACAATTGATCTGTTAAAGTAATCATTTAGTTGCTATGGTAACAACAACTCTACCAATCGATCTGTCATGGTGATTCTATAGTTGCTATGGTAACACAACAAAGTAGTAATTCTAGAGTTGCTACGGTAACACAACAACAACAGTAATTGATCTATTGTAGTAATTCCATAGTTGCTATGGAAACACAACAACTACAGTAACACAAACCAATGACCCAATACTGTAGTTTTCTGCAACTATAGGGTACATTATACTACAATACACCACCGTTTACAGTAGTAAACACTGAATATACTACAGTATTCACTACAGTTTATCAGTACTCTATAGTTAATACTACAGTACTGGAGCATTCATTAACTAAAAGTCATAAACGCTGCAATACATTCAGTATAATACTCTTCACTATAGTATGGTTCAAAGCACCACAGTCAGGATGTAAACAGGGTATTTTTGCCCTTTCAATCATTCTGTCCGTCACCTCATTTAGAACTGAAGTATAAATGAATCGCATCTGGTCGGTCAGGCATCGGGACGCTTGCGTAGAGTATGTTTCTGACTGACTCTCTTGTTTACTGTGAGCTAAAATAACCTGCTGTTATTTGAAGTCTGATGCTGTGAAGCTCTCTGTAGACCCGTGTCTGTTTATCTGCTGGATTGGGTTTTACTCTGGCGAATATCTGCAACCGCTGTCTCTTCACTTTACTGCCTACCAGAACATCCGCACACCGACAGAGCAGCGCAGAGACTTTAGGGAGTGAAGACTGTTGAATGTCACGTCTGAGTTTGTGACACGTCCTGCCAGCACTGTGTGTGTGTGTGTGTGTGTGTGTTTGTTTGCGTGACAGAGGAAGGGTGTGTCGCCATGACAACAGCAGAAAGATGCGAGTTGATGCACCAATGAAAGCGTAGCTCATCTCCAGTGTTCTAGTGCTGTGAATCTGCCTTACTGTTATTCGGACTGGATTTCTGTGCCTTCATTTAGTAACGGTAGTGTATCTCTCACAGAACAATCTGTGTGTGTGTGTGTGTGTGTGTGTGTGTGTGCGTGTGTGTGTGTGTGTGTGTGTGTGTGTGGGAAGTCCCTCACTGTGATGGTCAGTGTTCATCTGCTGGAATAAAACAATTGTGGACCTCTTCCTTTTGCTGTGGGTTCATTTACTGAAATCTCACTAATTATCATTCACTCATTTTAGTGCTGTTCAGTGCTAATGTTTGCATTTAATTCAAAACTTAATTATGGTTAATAACATCCAAAATAAAAGTTAGAATTAAACACAGTACACTTAAACTAAGCATGTGTACTGGGTATATTTATTATGTATACACTCACCGGCCACTTTATTAGGTACACCTGTCCAACTGCTCGTTAACGCAAATGTTAGGAAGGGCATTGGCTGTGTAAAACATATGCTGGATAAGTTGGAGGTTCATTCCACTGTGGTGACCCCAGATTAATAAAGGGACTAAGCTGAAAAGAAAATGAATGTATGAATGAATGAGTTGGCGGTTCATTCCGCTGTGGTAACCCCAGATTAATAAAGGGGCTAAGCTGAAATTCTGCACAGTAATTTAATGTTTGATGAAGTTAAAATGCTTTCAGTTCTTGCTGTCAGATTAACTCCATAAAATAAGATCTCTTACCTTCTGTATTGACTGATTATTTATACCTCATGTGTGTTTGTTATACTGCACTGCAGAATAAAATCAATATGCTTAAACTGCTCTTTCACTCCTGTTACAATCACTTCAAAACTTCTCCGCTCCGAAATTTCTCCGCTCATATTACATCACACTATTCATTCATTTTCCTTTGGCTTAGTCTCTATTTTAGAGGTTGCCATTGTGGAATAAACCGCCAACTAAAACTCCACACAGAAACACCAACTGACCCAGCCGAGACTCAAACCAGAGACCTTCTTGCTGTGAAGCCATTCACCGTGCCAACTTATATCACACTATATTTGTCAAATATATCTGATCGTTATCTGAAAACAAAACATAGTTTGACCTTTGACCCGTATGCTGCATATCTGTACTAGCAGACAAAACAAATATAACAGCTGTGAGTAGTAAATGCTGAGCAAATGAGTCCTCATTGTGTTCAGGTCATTGTTTTATGCAGAGGCGTCTCTCTATGATCTTACACATAGTAATGTAATCCTGGTTAACTTTTAACTAAACGATTACAGCAACGATATCAGATCAACACACACAAACTGTGATGTCTGTAAATCCCCCACAATCCACTGCACACTCATATATTCACACCTGAAACAGGAATATGGACATTTTTATGATGTTTTCCCTCAGATATGCGTCGTGTATCGCAATAAAATGGTTGTGAATGATGTCTGCAGAGCAAACACTACTCATCAGGGCCAGTAGCTTGTGTGTGTCTCTCAGAAACATCATGTCTGAAAATAAAGACACGTCTCAGAGAATGTGTCCCCTTACAGCATCCGCATCACTCTCAGCCCGTAACCATGGCGACCAGAGTGTCTGTCTGTGTCCACCGGTTGTGTCTGAGAGCATGAGCGGCTGTTTATAATCCTACTGATGGCAAACTGCTACCAGACACTTGTGGCTGTGCGCGCACACACACACACACACACACACACACACACACATACAAATACAAACATGCATGCACAAACATACGCATGCATGCACAAACACATGAATGCATGCACAAATGTGCACATACACACACACGTAGACACACATACACATGCACACATGCACACATACACACACACACAAAAACACATGAACACTCTTTCAAAAAAACACGCAGGCACACACAAACACATGCATGCATGCACACATGTACACATACACACACACACATATATGTGCACACACACACACACATACAAACACATAAACACTGATTTAAAAACACGCACACACACACATAAAAACACACATGCATGCACAAATGCATACATACACACACATGCAGGCACACACACGTGAACACACACACACACACAAACACACATGCACAAATGCATACATACACACACACAGGTACACACATATAAACACACACACACACACACACACACACACACACACACAAACACTCATTCAAAAACACACGCACACACATACAAACACAAACATGCATGCACAAATGCGCACATACACACACGCAGGCACACATACACACACACACACACACACAAACACAGACATGCATGCACAAATGGACACATACACACACACAGGCACACACACATGCACACACAAACATTCACAAACACACACAAAGACAAAAAAACATGCATGAATGCACATCCACACAAAATAAACTCACACACACACACACACACACACATACACAATCACACAGACAGACTGTATGTTCTCTCCCCCACCCTCATAGCACTGCTATACTTGTGGAGACATTTGGCCACCACAGCTTAAAAATACAGAGCGCACACACACACACACACACACACACACACACACACACACACACACACACTGATGGAGTCCTGAGTCTCCCTGATAACATTATGTCTTTCACCCGAGGCTCGCCGGGGGATTCTTGAAGGGCAGAAAAAGCAAAACAGTCAATCGAAGAAAAGAGAGAGTCAGACCTGCTCAACATCACGTGACCAGCCTCAAATCACATCCAGAGGACTCAGAATGCAGCTCTGCTCAATGCCAGAAGTCAGATGGACACGCCCACATCCCCATCAGCCAATAAGAGAACAGCATTACAATCTGCTCAATGCCAGAGGTCAGACGGACACACCCACATCCCATTTAGCCAATCAGAAAACAGCATTACAGCTCTGTTCACAGTCAGAGGTCAGATGGCCACACCCACATCCACATCAGCCAATCAGAAAACAGTATGACATGACAATGTCAGAGGTCAGACAGTCACATCCCCGCCTACATCCTCATCAGCCAATCAGAAAACAACATGACATGTAAAAGTCAGATGGCCACACCTACATCCCCATTAGCTAATTAGAGAACAGCATGACATGTCAATGTCAGAGGTCCCACGAACACGCCCACATCCCTATAAGCCAATCAGAAAACAGCATGATTTGTCAATGTCAGAAGATAGACGAACACACCCACATCCCCTTCAGCCAATCAGAGAACAGCCTGACATGTAAATGTTATTGGTTAGATGAACACACCCACATCCCCATCAGCCAATCAGAGAACAGCATGACATGTCAATGTCAGAGGTCAGAAATCTATGCCCACATCCCCTTCAGCCAATCAGAATACTGCATGACATGTATGTTATTGGTTAGATTAACACGCCCACATCCCCATCAGCCAATCAGAGAACAACATGACATGTCAATGTCAGAGGTCATATGAACACGCCCACATCCCCGTCAGCCAATCAGAGAACATCATGACCCAGCACTCTCCCGGTGACTTTCCCTATTAACGGCAGTGATGCGAAACTCCTCAAGGTCGATCTGCCGGTAATAAGGAAGTGTTTGTGTAATGTGTCAGAGAAGCCCAGAGCAAAAAGCCCTAACCGCTGGTGTTACATTAACAGAGAAACACTTCACATGACCAACATCACACCTCAACGCCACACGTCTGCACAGAACAACTCCAAAAACACCGCTCAGTTCACAGCTACACACTATCTGCTGTTCAGAAAACTCTCACTGTAATGATGCTCACTTCAAGAGACAGAACACCCAAAACATCAACATCCTGACTTCATCCTGACTTGTTTCTTTCTTCTGCTGAACACAAAGGAAGATTTAACACTTTTATTTGCGTGCTGTTTTATTTATGTACATTAATGTTGCTCTTTAGAAAAAACAATTTTATTTGATACTCATTTAAAGAGACAGTACCCCAAAAAACTAAAGAACACTAGGAAAAACATCCATTGACTTCCATAGTATTTTTAATTATTCCTAATGGGGATGACAATAGCTACCAGTCACTTTTATGTGCATGTTGTTTTATTTTTGAGCATTAATTTCATGGTTCAGAAAGAATCTCACTGTTTTAAAACTCATTTAAAGAGACAGTACACACAAACAATGAAAATTCTGTCATCATTTAAGTTGTTTCTTTCTTCTGTTGAACACAAAAGAAGATATACCACTTTTAATTGGATCTTATTTTAATTGTGTGCATTAATTTTGTTTTACTAAAAAAAACTCTCTTTTGATACTCATTTAAAGAGACAGTACACTAAAAATCTCTGAGGAACACTGGTAAAAAAAATCCATTGACTTTCATAGCATTTTTAATTATTCCTACTATGAATGACAATAACTACAGTTGCTTTTATTTGTATGTCATGTTATTTTTGTACATTAATTTCACAGTTCAGAAAAAATCTCACTGTTTTAAAACTCATTTAAAGAGAAAAAAAGGATATTCTGCCATCATTTAAGTTGCTTTCAAACTTGTTTCTTTCTTCTGCTGAACACAAAGGAGGATATACCACTTTAATTTGCATGCTGTTTTGTTTATGTACATTAATGTTGCTCTTTAGAAATAATATCACTTTTGATACTCATTTAAAGAGACAGTACACCAAAAAAAAAAAAAAAAAACTCAGAAAAACACTGTGAAAAATCATCTATTGACTTCTATATTAATTTTAATTATTCCTAATGGGGATGAAAATAGCTACCAGCTACTAGTGTGCCTGTCAGACATTTCACACTGGATGAAAGATCATCATCTTCAGCTTAACCTCACGAAATGGAAATGCTTGTTTCTGCCAACTCGACTCTACACCATAACTGTTCAATCCAGATGGATGGGGCAACCATTACTGCATCCAAAACTGTGAAAAGCCTTGGAGTAACAATTGATGACCAACTAAACTTCTCTGACCACATCTCTAGAACTGCTCGATCGTGCAGATTCGCACTCTATAACATCAGAAAGATCCGACCCTTCCTATCTGAACATGCAGCTCAACTCCTTGTTCAAGCTCTTGTTCTCTCCAAACTGGATTACTGCAACTCTCTACTAGCCGGGCTTCCAGCTAACTCTATCAAACCTCTTCATCTGCTTCAGAACGCAGCAGCACGAGTGGTCTTTAATGAAGCTAAAAGAGCACATGTCACTCCGCTGCTCATCCGTTTGCACTGGCTGCCAGTTGCTGCTCGCATCAAATTCAAAGCTCTGATGTTTGCTTACAAAGCGACTTCTGGCTTTGCTCCTTCTTATCTGCTCTCACTTCTGCAGATGTATGTGCCCTCCAGAAACTTGCGTTCTGTGAATGAACGTCGCCTCGTGGTTCCATCCCAAAGAGGGAAGAAATCACTTTCCCGAACGCTCACGCTCAATCTGCCCAGTTGGTGGAATGAACTCCCTAACTGCATCAGAACGGCAGAGTTCTGGAAAAACATCCATTGACTTCCATTGTATTTTCATTTACTCCTACTATGGATGGCAATAGCTACCAGTTACTTTTATTTGCATGTCATTTTATTTTTGTACATTAATCTCACTGTTTCACTCATTTAAAGAGACAGTACACACGAAAAATTTAAATTCTGACATCATTTAAGTTGCTTACAAACTTGTTTCTTTCTTCTGTTGAACACAAAGAAGGATATACCACTTTTAATTGCAAGTTATTTTATTTTTGAATCCCACTTTATATCGGATATCACTCAGCCAGTGGAGATTGCTGATTTTTAAAGAAAACAGACCTTAAACGTGCCAATTTTGCAATGGCATATAGTTCACCAGAAGAGCTGGACCCATCGACGAATTTAAAGTGTTTTAGCATACTTCGACATATACCCTATACCTACCAGTCATATTTATTTGCATGTTGTTTTATTTTTGTACATTAATTTTACTGTTCAGAAATAAATGACTGTTTTGAGGTTCTCTTAAAGAGGCAGTACACCAAACAAATGAATATTCTGACATCATTTAAGTTGCTTTCAAACACAAAAGAAGGTTTACCACCTTTTATTTGCAAGTTATTTAATTTTTGTACATTACAATTAACCTTACTCTGTTGATATTCACTTAAAGAGACAGTACACCGCCAAAACTCATCATTTACCCTCGTTTCAAACACACAAAGACTAGAAAAATGCTGCAAAAAAACAGCCATTGGGTATTTTTTAATTTTCAGCATTTCTCAAATTATCTTCTTTTGTGTTCAACAGAAAAACAAAAGTCATAAATATTTGCCAGCACTTCATATTGATTAAACAGCAAATGTATTTTCATTTTTCTGTGTGTGTGTGTGTGTGTGTGTATGTGTGTGTGTGTGTGGACTGTCCCTTTAAATATGTGTGAGACTACACTAGCGCTCAGAATAAAACACTCATAAAACTCATAAAAGCAGGTAAAGCATCTCACCGGAGTTAGCTCTCAGGGTCTGTATCTGCTGTTAATTTTTAAGCAAATCACCTTTGATGGAGGCAGGACATTTTCCTCCCCCCCCATCACAACAGCACACGACGGACCAATCAGCATCCAGGTGTGAACTCCTATATAAACCAACATGCAGTAACAAAAAAGCAAAGCCAGCCTTCTGTAAAGCTTTACAAGTCAAACAAATAAAGCCTCCAGATGGAGAATCCAGGCTTCCAGACGTCCAAAGATGACCCTCCACAGTATGAAGAGACGTCTTTCTGCACGAACGGTTTCGGGAACGGGGAACGCAGAGCCATACGCTCGTCTGTGGTCAGTGCTTTTGGCCACGACACTTTGGACCGCGTGCCAAACCCTGATTTTTACCGGAACGCAGCGAGCATCAGCGGACACAGAGCCGTCAGACCGTCCCTACACGAGCTGCATGACGTCTTCCAGAAAGTGAGTCAATTTGGAGAAATCAGAACTTTTCTTAATCAGTTTGACGGTCAATGTTGGTGTCAGAAATTTAAAGTGACAGTACACCCCCAAAACAGGGTGATTCTACCACTCTGGGCTGATTTAGAGTCGTAATTTGGCCACAGCTTTCTCTGTGTTTCAGCAAATGCAATGATTCATAGTGCTAAAGCTTATATTGACTCATATTTTGGGAAAATACTTTGAAAATTATCAAACTCAACAATACATTGTGAGTAAATTGACTTTCCTTTGGTCATGGTGCTGTTTTTGCTCCATTGACTTCCATCATAGTCACATTTTGATTGCAAAGACATGACAGCAGATAATCATCATTTAAATCAGGGGTGTTCAAACTCAGTCCTGGAGGGCCGGTGTCCTGCATATTTTAGCTCCAGCTTGCCTCAACACACCTGCATGGATGCTTCAAGAAAGCCTAGTGAGAGCTTGATAAGCTAGCCCACGTGTGTCTGATTGGGGTTGGAACTAAACTTTGCAGGACACCGGCCCTCCAGGACCAACTTTGGGCAACCCTGATTTAAAGAGACAGTACACCCCAAAACCAAAAAATAGCTCCCATTTGATGTGCTGTTGGGTCATTTTCATCCTCCCGGGTGATTTCGAGTCTTAATTTGGCCACAGCTTTCTCTGTGCTTCAGCAAATACAATGACTTTTGGTGATGAATCTTATTTTAACACATGTTTTGGGAAAATACTTTCACAATTGTCAAACTCAACAATACATTGTGAGTAATTTGACTTTCCTTTGGTCATGGTGCTGTTTTTGCTCCATTGACTTCCATCATAGTCACATTTTGATTGCAAAGACATGACAGCAGACAATCCTCATTTAAAGCAGGGGTGTCAAAACTCAGTCCTGGAGGGCCGGTGTCCTGCATATTTTAGCTCCAGCTTGCCTCAACACACCTGCATGGATGCTTCAAGAAAGCCTAGTGAGAGCTTGATTAGCTAGCCCAGGTGTGTCTGATTGACAAGTGTATTGATCAAACTCAACAATACATTGTGAGTAATTTGACTTTTCTTTGGTCATGGTGCTGTTTTTGCTCCATTGCCTTCCATCATAGTCACATTTTTAATTGCAAGGCCATGACAGCATATAATCATCATTTAAAGTGACAGTACACCCAAAAAATATAGGTCTCACTTTACGTGCATTTTCATCCTCTCTGGTGATTTTGGGTCTTAATTTGGCCACAACTATCTTGGTGTTTCAGCCAATGCAACGATTCATGGTGATAAATCTTATTTTCACTCATATTTTGGGAAAATAATAAAAAAAACATTCAAATTCAACAATGCATAGTGAGTATTTTGGCTTTCCTTTGGATATGATGGCTGCTTTTGCTCCATTGACTTCTATTATAATCACTTTTTTTGACTGCAAGGCCATGACCGCATATAATCATCATTTAAAGTGGCAGTACATCCCAAAAAAGGTCCTCACACATTCTGTTTCTGAAACATTCTGTGTTTCAGCAAATGCAATGATTTTTTTGACACATGTTTTGGTAAGAGCTTTGAAACTGTTCAACTCAATAATACACACTGAGTAAATTTACTACACTTTCTTTAGGTTTGTGACTGTTTTTGCTCCATGGACTTCATTATAATCCCATTTTTTTGACAGCAGATACTCATCATTTAAAGTGAACCCCACCGTAGGGTTAGTGTTAGTACACCTCAAAAAAGGTCCTATTTTATGTGCTGTTGGGTCTTTTTTTCCTCTCAGGTGATTTTGGTCACATAGGGTGAAGCAGTGGCGCAGTAGGTAGTGCTGTTGCCTTACAGCAAGAAGGTTGCTAGGTCGCTGGTTCGAGCCTCGGCTCAGTTGGTGTTTCTGTGTGGAGTTACTGTGCCACTGCCTCTCCGCTAAAATGATTCAAAAGACTAAAATATGACTAAAACTATCATAAGAAAAAGACTAAAACTAATTGTAAAACAGGACAGAAAGAAATAATAATAGGATGACCTGAATGTTCTAAACCAGGTATGTACAAACTCAGTCCTGGAGGGCAGGTGTCCTGCAAAGATTAGTTCCAACCTCAATCAGACACACCTGGGCTAGCTAATCCAGCTCTTACTAGGCTTTCTAGAAACATCCTTGCAGGTGTGTTGAGGCAAGCTGGAGCAAAAATCTGCAGGACCGAGTTTGGACACCTCTGTTCTAAACCTTCTTCAATCATCAACTTACTGAGAACGTTTCGGAAACATTCTTAGAATATTAATATAATGTTGGTGCAATGTTCTAATAACGTTTTAAATAAACAAATGTTGCTGTCAAATTTAACACTGACGGTTTAAACATTTAAAGAACAGTAAATTAATATAGTTCAATCATTTATTCATTTTCTTTTTTGGCTTTGTCCCTTTATTAATTAGGGGTTGCCACAGCGAAATGAACTGCCAACTACTCCAGCACATGTTTTACGCAGCGGATGCCCTTCCAGCTGCAACCCAGTACTGGGAAAATAAATATAGTTATATAACCTAATGGGAATGTTAAGGAAAAATCTTTAGAACTTACAATAATTAGCTTAAATCCATTCACCATAACAGATATGTTATTTTAAAAGAAAAAAAAGACTCCTATGCACAGTTTAAACCCAGTAGTGTGTGTGTGTGTGTGTGTGTGTGTGTGTGTGTGAGCAGTGTGTGAGTATCTCCAGCAGCCTCTAATGCTCAACATGAGTTAATTGTGTTTATTATAATCAGACTTGATGAATGAAACACTTTGATTGTCATTCTCCCTTTGTACGTGGCATCAAGCCCCGCCCACTAGTGCCCATCATCTCTCCATCTCATTAGCATGTCCAGCAGGCCTGAGTGAGAAGCAGCCGTCTGTCCATTAGCCATTAGAGTGTTTGAGCTGCTGAAGATGATGTCAGCATAGACTAAGAGGATTATAGATGTGCAGTTCTAGATGAACAGAGACAGGAGCGACAGAGACTGACATCATGGTGACGGACAGCCATCTGTAGCTCCGCCCTCTTCTTAAAAGAGCACAATCTCATTTGCATTTAAAGCGACAGTCACCAAAACACCACAATTAGGACCAAAGCCTGAAAGGGTCAGTTTCAGAGAGCTGGAGAACATCATCTGTGTGCTGTTCTCAGCTCAAACAAACACACACACACACACACCCTAGACACTACACTAAAAAGGGGCAGAATAGGTCTCCTTTAACATAACTCAATCATAATTGCGGGTGTACAGACGACAGCAGTTTGTGGAGCAGATCTGAAGCTAACAGCACCCGCAGATCAATAGCCAGACTAATGAGAAAGCACTCGGTTTATGAGTAACGATCTCCTGCGGCGAGTGTATTGATCTGCTGGCCATAAACACAGTAATTAATGCAAACAAGGGCTAAAAAGTTTGCGCTGATCCAGAAAGCACCCATTCACGCAGTTCTGACGCCCGACTCGAGAAACTTATTCTGCAGAGCATTTCCAAGGAAAAGTCTAGAAGGGATACAGCTGAGGATACTCACACCAATACAGCATCATTTTTGTGACACTGTACAATAATTAATATTTTAACATGACTGTGAGGGTTGGGTTTAGGGTTGAGATAGAGGTAGACTTCAATAAAACACAATTTAATGAGCAACTATGTATTGTAGAATAATATAACCTAGTTGTAGAAAACTACAGTACTGGGTCATTTGTTTATATTACTGTAGTTGTTGTGTTGTTGTGTTATAGCAACTATAGAATCACTACAACAGATCAATTACTATAGTTTTTGTGTTACCATAGCAACTATAGAATCACCACAATGGATCAATTACTATAGTTGTTACCATAGCAACTGTAGAATCACCACAACAGATCAATTACTATAGTTCTTGTGTTACCATAGGAACTATATAATCATCACAACAGATCAATTACTACAATTCTTATTAACATAGCAACTGAAGAATCATCACAACAGATCAATTACTATAGTTGTGTTACCATAGCAACTGTAGAATCCCCACAATAGATGAATTTCTACAGTTCTTGTGTTACCATAGCAACTATACAATCACCACAAAATATCAATTACTACAATTCTTGTTACCATAGAAACTGTAGAATTGTCACAACAAATCAGTTACTATAGTTGTGTTACCATAGCAACAGTAGAATCCCCACAATAGATCAATTTCTACAGTTTTTGTGTTACCATGGCAACTATAAAATCATCACAACAGATCAGTTACTACAGTTCTTGAGTTACCATAGCAACTACAGAATCACCACAACAAAACAATTACAATTCTTGTGTTACCATAGCAACTATAGGATCACCACAACACATCAATTTCGACAGCTGTTACCATAGCAACTGTAGATTCACCACAACAGATCAGTTACTAAAGTTTTTGTAATACCATCGAAACTGTAGAATCACCACAATGGATTAATTGGGGTACCTACTATAATAAACACTGCAGTATTTAGTAAAATGCCTAGATATTTGTGCATAAAGTCTAGCATGTGACTCACCCATAATGGTTTCATTTGTCATCAGAATGGAGGCCTTAACCTTCCCAGTCCGGTGGAGGACAGTGAGGGAGTGGACAGCTCCACGCTGGGCGATGTGGAGTCCGTCACCCCATTGGAGGAGAAGGACACTGGGGGTGTGGTCAAATTTGGCTGGATCAAAGGAGTTCTGGTGAGTTATTCATCATCACTACACGGCTCTGTGCAACACTTGATTGATCTCTGATTGGTCAGTCATCACGCTAAAAATGCTAGATTGATTTAAAGGTCTAAAGTATTTTAGATGTTAGTTTCAGTATGGTAGCTTTATCTATAATCTTGCGCCTCTAAAACACTGACACATGTAGCAGATATAAACCTGATATAAACATCTACAGTCTGTGGTTTGTCCCTTTCGCCTAAATAGATTGAGGATTTCTTTTGCTGCCACATCATACTTCAGTTTCTCATCAAATCTTCTGACCAATCAAATGCTCTCTAGTGTCTGACATGCCCCACCTTCTTCTTCTAATTGGCTGTTTATTTGACCTGCTTCAACTACTCTTACTGGCAGATGCTATTGGCTGATTTTTAAAAAGGGGGAGGAGTTATTAATGTCCCATCTTCATGTTTTTAGATAATTTCAAAATGCACATTTCAAGTCATCTCGAGGGACCTTTATACTCAATGCTGAGTCAAATATGGCCAGATCCTGGAGTTGGGTTAAAAAGTGTCATTTAAATGGAATTGAACATTGGCTATGTCTATATTTGGGTTACATCAACTCAGCACTTTTTGAATGTTACTATATATCCTTTTCTGTCTCTCCACTGCTCTTGGTTTTTTGGCAGCATCTTGCCTCTGAACACTGGGCTGTCATTACCCAACGCTGGGTCAAATATTGGACATCCCCAACAGTTGGGTTAAAAAATGTAATTGATTAGATTATTAGATTAGATTGTACATTACACATGTACAAGTACAAGACAAAGAAATGCAGTTAGGGTCTAACCAGGAGTTATAGAAATACTATGGTGATATTTACAGATGGATATACTATCAACATTATAAACAGGTTGAATACAAAAGAAGTCAGAATTTTACATTTCTTTTTCTTTTTTAAATATTTCCCAAATGATGTTTCTTCTGTAACAGAGGAAATGTTCACAGTATCTCTGATAATATTTTTCCTTCTGGAGAAAGTCTTATTTGTTTTATTTCGGCTAGAAGAAAAGCAGCTTTTAATTGTTTAAACACCATTTTAAGTACAATATTATTAGCTTCTTTAAGCTATATTTTTGTTTCGATAGTCTACAGAACAAACCATCATCATACAATAACTTGCCTGATTACTAGGGGTGTGAACCTACACTGGTCTCACAGTTCGCTTCAGTAACGATTATCATGCCATTGATTTGGTTCAATTCGACTTCTCAGTGCATTGACGAAGAGTTTTTCTCTTCGCAACACAATAATTATTTTATAAATTATAATCTATAAATATATTAATATTTATGTTAGATAAATTAATTTTATGCATTTCCATATATTCTATTTATATTCTTTTTAATTATGTATACTTTTAAAGGAACCCAAAGTTAAATGTGTGTGCGTCTTGATATAATCACATGCTCAACTGCAGTTTTCAATCAGTTAAATGGTTGGAATGATGTGCTGACAATGATTTGACTATATGATCAATAGGATTCTACCAAACACACTGTTTAGCCCAGTGATTAAAGACAATGCTTCATCATCTGTTTGTATGCCTGTAAACTGGACTTGAAGGACTGCCCTTTGAGCAACCAGAATGGAAGCTCTTGTGTTCCTTCTGTATTGTTCCCTTACTGCAAGAACATTACATCTTTCATAATGAATCTTCACGAGTCTTGGAATAATTTTTGATTCTGACAAATTGGCGAGCCAGCCAGGAGTCCAATATCTCTGCAGTGTTCCACGGATTGGAAAAGGCGCCGAAACTGAAAAATCCTCAACAGTCTTCGTTTTAAAAGGAGATTTGGGAATTTAGTGAGGTAAAACCAAGCTGAGGAGCACTGGAGAGTGAAGGACTTTGTGGCCTAAAAAGAGCCAAGACTCAGGTAAGAAACTAATTAATTATTTATTACAAAAATAAAAAAAACTGAAAAATAGAAAAAATAGAAACAGAGAAAAACATATATCTAGCAAACTAGGATTATTATATACGTCTTTTGAATGTTGAAGATGATTATTGATAAATTAGAGTTATGTTTTAAAGAAAATAGTTTCTGTTGGATTCATTATCGAATGACACAGGAAGATTTGAAGCTAGAATAAGGCTTGTTGTTTGATTGAAAATGTGAAAAATATAGAACAGTTCCAAAATCCTGTATCAAGATTAGATAGGAGACACTTGGGAGCGCGATAAGAGAGTTCAAAATCCAGGTCAGTACTGGTCAGGCCCGATGCTACGGGGGGGGGCAAAGGGGGTTATCACAGGTAATCCATAACAGACACAGTGGAGAACACTCGCACCTCAGGCACGCTCGTGTCTGGATCCACAAGTATCGCTTTAACAGCCGAGAGGAGAGGAAAAGTCACCCGACAAACACCCCAGCGGGTCACATGTCCAGAGTGAGAGAGAGAGTGAGAGAGAGAGAGAGAGAGAGAGAGAGAGAGAGAAAGAGAGAGAGAGAGAGAGAGAGAGATAGAGAGAGAGAGATAGAGAGAGATAGAGAGAGAGAGAGAGAGAGATGGAGTTTTACAGCATTTCTCTAGTAGTGTAATAGCGTCTCGTGTGCTGTGTCCCTATAGTGTCAGTGAAAGACTGTCCAACAAACTCACAGCTGAACTGTGCATAATTATCTACCTTTTATGTAGTAGGAGCATTTTATTTAAGCGGTTTTATTTATCGTGGTGCACCAAATAAACAATTAGTTTTGACACCCCTACTAATGACGCTAACCTGCCTAATTACTACTAGGGTAGTGAAGCCTTTACATGTCTCTTTAAGCTGTATAGAAGTGTCTTGAAGAATATCTAGTCTAATATTATTAACTGTCATCATGACAAAGATAAAATAAATCAGTTATTAGAGATGAGTTATTAATACTATTATGATCAGAAATGTGTTGCATTAATCTGCTCTCCGTTACACAGAACCTGGGGAAAAATAAAAAGGGGGTGAATAATTCTGTCTTCAACTGATATGTACAGGCTGCTATTAGAAATCGGAACAAATATGAACAAAATTACAAATGTACTTGTGCAGTTCAAGATGAATTAGTGCAACGATGAATTTTATTTGTGCAGATTTATTTATTTATTTTAATTGTGTAAGTAATAAATGAATAATGCAGTGTTTATGGCGTGTGTAAGTTATGAGTAGACCCACACTGAATATGCGAGCGCAGAATTCTGCAGATGTTTAGCCCATCATTAATTCTGTTTGTTTACTTGAGTAAATGTGTGTAAATCTATACTTATTCAGTTTTTAATTAATTACAGTAAAATTATTGACTAATATGAAAATGTTCATCTGATTTCTGTACAATGCAGTTTGTAAAGTCATATTTTCTGACATTTAGTAGATGTATTATATGAAACTTGCTTTGTTTACCAAATAAACTGGATCTAATTATATTTGCAATTTAAACATTAAATAAAAGTTAAAAGGTATTACTTTTTATTTTACATATTAAGGTTTTAGTTATAATACTCCCAACATAATTCAGCAGATTTTTAACAAAATTCCTCACAGAAATAGCAAAAAAACTTCCGCAGATTAAGTCTGGCCCGGGTTATGAGGAAAGCTTGGGGTCTATGAGGAGGGCGAGTATAAGAGTCAGTGGCGCCAGAGTGGGACGGATTAATTAAAGTATAATTGTTTAAAATGCTCGGTTAGACCATGTTTGAATCAACGCTGTGTAATAATCAGGATAATGTGCATCCAGAGAGTTGCTAGTGCAGAATAAAGCCTTCAGTCTTAGAATAAAGCCGGCCAGGTTCAGCTGCTGCACACGGCTAATGAAGCTTCTCTTACTCAGAGTTTTAGTCTTGTTTCTAGTCCAAATATCTACAGATACTTAAATCAAAAGGGAATTTTATAGACAAGCACAACATATTGTCTTGTTTTAGGAGTTAATGTTTGTTCCTTAAAGCAGGTAAAATATCAATAGGTAAGGAAAATAATCATGTGTCAAATGGAAAATCTGGAGTTTTTCCTTAAAACAAGCAAAATAATGAGCCAATAAGGGAAGGGAAATAATTCTGTCTTTCCTTTTGAGTTAAGACTATTTCGCTGACCACATTGTCAGATTATTTAGCTTGTTTTAAGGAAAAACTCTCTTTATTTTCACTCATTATTTCTGAAATCAAGACTATATGTTTTAATTGTCTAGAAAATGTTTCTTGATTGCAGAATCTGTAGATATTTGGACTGGAAACAAGAGAAAACCTCTCAGAAAGAGATATGAAATACCCCGCGGCTTTATGACGATGATGTGTTATTGAAATAAACGGGTGTTAGTCTGAGCATGTGTGTGTGTGTGTGTGTGTGTGTGTGTGTCTGCAGGTGCGCTGCATGCTGAATATCTGGGGTGTGATGCTCTTCATTCGGCTCTCCTGGGTGTTCGGACAAGCAGGAATCGGTGAGGAGTTTCTCACCCTGACCTTCACAAAACACACACACACACACACACACACACACACACACACACACACGCACACACGCACGCATTAACATTTAGCATGGAAAACTCTACACACACTCACATACACGCAAACACACACACACACACACACACACACACACACACACACACACACACACACACACACACACACACACACCTCAAAATTGTAGCCCCTCTTGCAACAGTTGTCAGAGTGACCTTTTCAGTGAGACGCTCTTTAAAGGACATTTAAAGAATCTTTTTCCATGAATGTTAAAGAGTATTTAATTAAAGCCAATACAGGAACGTCTTAACTCAGAATGGGTCTTTCAGACGACTGGAGACTTCTTGGTTTAAGGGACAGTTCACTCAGAAAAAAATGTGCGATTCTCAACCAGTCTTCCCAAAACCACAGTACATCATTCAAAGATCATTCATTTTCCCTGGCCTTAGTCCCTTATTTATCAGAGTTCGCCACAGTAGAATGAACCGCCAACTATTCCAGCATATGTTTTACACAGTGGATGCCCTTCTAGCTGCAACCCAGTATTGGGAAACACCCATACACACTCATTCACACACACAAACTCATACACTACGGCCAGTGTAGTTGATCAGTTCCCCTATAGCGCATGTGTTTGGACTGTGGGGGAAACCGGAGCACCCCGAGGAAACCCACGCCAACACGAGGAGAACATGCAAACTCCACACAGCAACACCAAGTGACCCAGCCGAGACTCAAACCAGCGACCTTCTTGCTGTGAGGCCACAGTGCTAACCACTGAGCCACCATGCCAAAAGACAGTTGATCCTTGTGTTAACTTTGCATAATGTAAGTGCACACCTGGTTGATAATTAGACGTGTGTGTGTGTGTGTGTGTGTGTGTGTGTTTGGTCAGATCACTGAAGGTCACTGCTGGTGTTAATGGAGCGTATCTAATAGTTCTTCAGACGTTTATGTTTCTGTGAAAGTCTCCGAGCTTCAGAGAAGTTGAGTTTCAGTCCGACACCTCCAGCGCATTACAGCTCATCAGAAACTCACTGTACTTTATGAGCTGTGAGTGACTGCAGGCTTTTATTCCTCATTATAGCGCTGAGCAAACACACACACACACACACACACACACACACACACACACACACACACACACACACTCTCTCTCTGAAGTGTGCAGCTGGAGTGTTAATGTGCTGAGCGCTTCATTCTGCACAGGTTTGACTATCAGAGTGAGGAAAATGTCTGAATATAGACAAATCTAATTTTAGAAAACTGTTTATATTTGCAAAACATTTTACAGCATTCACTTTACAAAACCCGCCCAGTGGATTGTGGTGCTCATTTTGATTTGCTTTTCAGTCAACTGTGAGTTTGTGATGCGGTTTTCTCTTCGCACTTCACGCTTCTGCGCGTTTCACTTTGTGGCCCTGATTTGACAAGCAAGCAGAGTCAAGGGAACTTTCTGGAGTAAATCTAGTGCCGTATATATACACTTGCAATATAAAAGACAGTTTTGCAAATAAAAAATAATTGAGCAAAAATAAATAAATGCAAATCTCCAAAAATTTCAAGGCAAAAATAAAATTGAGAAATAAAAATTAAATTTGCAAACAAAAAAATATATAAAATGCAAATAAAAATCAAGCAGTGCAAAAGAACTCAAATATTTCAAATAGTAAAACAACTATATATAAAAACGATACAACTTGGGCGTTTACAGCAGGCCCGGACCTACTGGGCTGTAAGAGCACCTCGGTGATGCTGTGTCTCCAGGTGATGACGTCCCTTAAATGGAGGCAGGCCCAAGCCTGTCGTAAACCCCAAGTTCTATTGAATCTGCCCCCATGTCAAATCAGGGCCACAATGTGAAACCCACAGAAAAGTGCAAATTGAAAACAGCATCACAAACTCACGATTGACTGAAAGGTAAATCAAATTGAGCTTTGCAATTGACTGGACAAGTTTTGTAAAGGCAATAAAAAATGTTTTGCAAAGGTACATATATATATATATATATATATATATATATATATATATATATTTTAATTGCAAATATGTTTGCACTGCTTGATTATTATTTGCAGTTCTTTTTAGTTTGCAAATTAAATTTTATTTCTTAAAACTTAATTTTCGCTTAGCGATTTCTGGAGATTTGCATTTATTTATTCATTTTTGCTCAATACTTTATTTTTTTGTTTGCAAAACTTTCTTTTATTTTGCAAGCATATATGGCCCTATATTGACTCTATAGAATTAAGGCATATGCGACAAAACTTTCTCCTATTTTATAACTATATATGGCCCTAGATTGATTCCATAGTATTGAAAGAACAATTGCATAACGTGCACACTTCCACATTGACGAATAAGGTCAATAGCGCATGTGTTTGGACTGTGGGGGAAACCGGAGCACCCGGAGGAAACCCACACCAACACAGGGAGAACATGCAAACTCCACACAGAAACACCAACTGACCCAGCCGGGACTCAAACTAGTGACCTTCTTGCTGTGAGGCCACAGAGCGACACCACTGAGCCACCGTGCTGCTCTAAACTGCCCCTTTAAGTGATATATTTGTGATATGATGATAATAAATGTGTGTGTGTGTGTGTGTGTGTTTTTGTGACATATCAGGACACAAATCTGTATAATGACATGAGTATGACACAGGTATTACAAAAAAGAGGTAAAATATGGGGACATTGGTGACGTCCTCATTTCTCAAAATGCTTATAAATCCCACAGGATGAGTTTAATCAGAGAGTAAAGCTGCACACTGACTCCTGTGATGGTTGGGGTTAGGGGTGAGGGCAATACATTATACGGTTTGGACTGTATAAAATGAATGGAAGTCTATGTAATCTACCCACTTTTCACAAAAACAAACGTGTGTGTGTGTGTGTGTGTGTTTCAGGTTTGGGGATAGTGGTGGTGTTGTTGAGTATGGTTGTAACCAGCGTCACCTGTCTGTCCATGTCAGCGATCTGCACTAACGGAGTGGTGAGAGGAGGTAAAACACTGTAAATCAGACTCTAGCAGAGCTGTGAGCTTGACAAACCACCTGTAAAAACACACTCTCTCTCTCCATATGCACCAGACACTTTCCTACAACCACTCTCCATATCTCTACAAACACTGTGCATTTCTGAGTGGGCCTCACGCAGTTGAGTGGGCTTGACAAACCACCTGTAGAAAACACTATTCTCTCTCTCTCTCTCCATATGCTCTAGACACTTTCTTATAATCAGTCCATATCTCTAGAAAACAACACTGTGCCTAAATTATAAGTGTGCCTTATGCAGGTGAGTGCCTCATACGACCAGTGTAGTTGATCAGTTCCCCTATAGCGCATGTGTTTGGACTGTGGGGGAAACCGGAGCACCCGGAGGAAACCCACGCCAACACGGGGAGAACATGCAAACTCCACACAGAAACACCAACTGACCCAGCCGAGACTCAAACCAGTGACCTTCGTGTTGTGAGGCCACAGTGCTAACCCCTGAGCCACCGTGCCGCCTGTTCATGTTTATGATTGAGTTTATTAATGTAGCACCACTGTATGTCCACACATGTAATGACATTAAAGCTCAACTTATCTTGATTCTGGGCTGACAGGAGTGTGTTTGTGGTGCAGGAGGAGCGTATTACCTCATCTCCCGCAGTCTGGGTCCGGAGTTCGGCGGCTCCATTGGTCTGATCTTCGCCTTCGCCAATGCTGTGGCCGTGGCCATGTATGTTGTGGGATTCGCTGAAACTGTGGTGGAGCTTCTCAAGGTACAAACGTCTGAACGCACAAAATAAAATCTTAGTGCTATTTGGTCAGAGGGGAACATGTTGCACATAAAGATCCACATTTCACAGCCACATCACCCTGCAGCCCAAGACTGGTCCCTCACTGAAGCTAAGCAGGCCTGTGCTTGGTCAGTACCTGGATGGGAGACTACTTGGGAACACAAGGTTGCTGTTGGAAGTGGTGTTAGTGAGGCCAGCAGGGGGCGCTCAACCTGTGGTCTGCGTGAGTCCTAATGCCCTAGTGCAGTGGTTCTCAAACTTTTTTCATCAAGTACCACCTCAGAAAAAAATTGTCTCTCCAAGTACCACCAAAATGAGCAGTATTGAAAAACAGTAGCGTTGTTGGCTCAGTAAAACGGCTACAACTCTGCTCAGTTAAAAAACGTGGCAGATTACCTCAGAAATATAGGCTATATGTCATATATGGCATATTATATACATCATTTTTGATAAATTTTGAAATATATGTAGCATGTACATGACATATTTCATTCCTCCGCGTACCACTAGAAGGAAGCCCGCGTACCAAGTGGTACACGTACCACAGTTTGAGAACCACTGCCCTAGTGTAGTGAAGGAGACTCTATACTGTCAGTGGGCGCCGTCTTTCGGATGAGACGTTAAACTGAGGTTCTGACTCTCTGTGGTCATTAATAACCCCATGGCACTTCTGGTGAAAGAGCAGGGGTGTAGATCCGGTGTCCTGGCCAAAGTCCCTCAATTAGCCTTTACAATCATGGCCTCCCAATCATCCCCATCCACTGAATTGTCTCCATCACTGTCTCTCCACTCCACCTATAGCTGGTGTGTGGTGAAGCATGGTGCTGCTGTCCTGTGTCTGCCGGAGCATCATCCAAGTGGAGCTGCACACTGGTGGTGGTGTGGAGAGACCCCCCCCCCCCCCCCTCATGATTGTGAAGTACTTTGGGTGTATGGTTGTACACGATAAATGCACTATATAAATACACATTACATTACACATTTGGGATTTATCAAAGCCATTTGGGGTCTGTTGAAATGTTTAGATGTCTTTTATTCCAGCAGACCAACAATTAACAAACTTGTTTAACCATAAAAAGGCAAAACAACACATTGGAAAGCTACGAAATGCAATGCAGACATGTGTATAGAACACTGTTAATATTGATGTATGTATTGATTTTTAAAGGATGCATTACACTGCAAAAATGCCTTTCTTACTTCTGTTTTGTTTCAAGTTCAAATATCTAAAACTCTTAAATCAAGGAGAATTTTCTAGACTAGTAAAAATGTCTTGTTTTCAGAAATAATGAGTCCAAATGAAGAGAGTTTTCCCTCAAAACAAGCAAAATAATCTGACAATGGGGGAAGAAAAACAAACTAGTTTTCGTTTTGACAATATTATTTTGCGTACCCCATTGGCAGATCATTTGACCTGTTTTAAGGACAAACTCGTTTAATTTTGACTTTGTGAAAATACTTTTTTTTTCTTTTCTAGAAAATGCTTCTTGATTTAAGAGTTTGTAGATATTTGAACTAAAACAAGACAAAATCTCAATGTAAGAAAAGCATTTTGGGCACGCTTATACACAATTTAAAATGAATGAATAAATAATAACATAAAGTTCAATACACATCTGTACATTGTATTTCACAACTTTTCTTCTTTTGTCTTTTGATGGTTAAATAGGTTCGTTAATTGATCAATCAATCAATCAATCAATCAATCAATCAATCAATCAATCAATCAATCAATCAATCAATCTTTTTCTATAAAGCACTTTAAAATCACCTAAAGTGATCCCAAGTGCTGTACACAAGACTAAAACTCATCAGGACATAAACTACATAAAATAATCAAGCAAAATGTCAATGGGTGTCAAAGGCCAAAGAGACAGTAAAATGGGTTTGACGATCTCAAATGTGCATTTTAATGTGCAACAATTTCCCATCTGACCATGAAATGATTAATCAGATTATTTGTGCCAGTGTAAAACATCTTGGTACTTATATTTAGGACAGTAACGCCCTCATCGTGGATCCCACAAATGATATCCGGATCATCGGCTGCATCACGGTGGTGCTGCTGATGGGCATCACTGTGGCTGGGATGGAGTGGGAGGCAAAGGTAAACACAGGCATGCTGGGATTGAGTGTGTGACGGTAGCAGTGGGAGAGAAAACTGAATCGAATTCGCTATTCTGAATCGATTCTCAAACGTTCAGAATTGATTCTTTATTCAATTCAGATAGTGTAAGCTGGCGCGGGCGTGAGCTAGAAACAAAATAGTGAAAAGCATTTACATGCGCATGTGCATACACAGAAAAAAAAAAATCTTCTTGTTTCTAGTCCAAATATCCAGACATTTTTCAATCAAGAAGCATTTTCTAGACAAGCAAAACATATTGTCTTGTTTCCAGAAAAAAATATGTATAAATGAAGTAAGTTTTTCCCCTTAAATAAGCAAAATATCAATGGGGTAAGTGAAATAATCTTACGCCAAAAAGAAAAACAAGCTCATTTATCTGCTGCCTCTTCTGAAAGCTGGTGTAATGTGAGTAAAGGTGTAGTTTTCACAGTCAGGCTGTGATGATAATCTATAGTCACTGTAACTCATCTCTCCGCAGGCTCAGGTGGCTCTGCTGGTCATCCTGCTGGTGGCCATTGCTAATGTGTTTGTGGGAACAGTGATTCCCTCCACACAAGACAAACGCTCCAAAGGCTTCTTCAACTATCACGGTGAGGAACCACACACAGACACTTCTCAACTCAACGAGCAGCTTTTCATTAAAACAAGCTAAATAATCTGCCAATGGGGTAAGCTAAATAATCTCATTAGAGTAATAATCTCAACTATTTAATCATTATTTAACTATAAAACATTACAGCATTCATACCACAATTCTAGTTTTTTCCTGTTCGATATATTCAGTTGAAGTCAGAATTATTCGCCACCTTTGAATTTTTTTCCTCTAGTAAATATTTCCCAAATGGTGTTGAACATATTCAGGAAATGTTGACAGTATGTCTGATAATATTTGTTCTTCTGGAGAAAGTCTGATTTGTTTTATTTCAGCAAGAATAAAAGCAGTTTTTAATTGTTTAAACACCATTTTAAGCTCAATATTATTACCCCTTTTAAGCTTTATTTTTTCTTGATAGTCTCCAGAACAAACCATCATCATACAATAACTTGCCTAATTACCCCAACCTGCCTAATTACCCTAATTACCCTAGTGAAGCCTTTAAATGTGACTTTAAGCTGTATAGAAGTGTCTTGAAGAATATCTAGTCTAATATTGTCACATTCACCAGCGATCTCTAACCACCAGAGGTCGCTGGAAAACATTCTCACTCACAGAACTACAAATGTGCTTGTAAATGGACTTCAACTTCATACATGCTCTTCGCCCACACACCTGCTTCCTCATTTAGACTGATTGCACTCGAACCACCTGAGGATTGAAAAAGACTGATAACACACACTATTTAAGCCACACATTCACCCCTTCAGTTTGCAGAGTCGTGTTATCTGTACTAGTAACACTACAACGTGTTCTCCTTGTCTTGTTGTCCTGTTTATTGACCTTAGCCTTGTTTTGTCTTAGTCTGCCGCCTGCCTTACGACCTCCCGCCTGTTATAGGACTATGATTCTGGACTGTCTCAATATACCTGTTTACACCTGTATTGACCATTGCTTGCCTGACTACACTTAAACCTGTATTTGGATCCTACCTTCTGTTGTCAGTGTCACTCCATGGTGGTTACAAATATTATTTACTGTCATCATGACAAAAAGAAAATAAATCAGGTATTAGAGATGAGTTTCTAACACTATTATGATTAGAAATGTGTTGGAGAAATCTGCTCTGCATTACACAGAAATTGGGGACAAATAAACAGGGGGGCGAATAATTCAGGGGGCTAATAATTCTGACTTCAGGGGTCCGTTCTTCGTACGTGGATTACTCAGTTAGCTGGATTTGGATATTGACGATTTGACACGATCCTGGATCATTTCGTTCT